ACAAAAATGAAAAATAAAGAAATGAATTTGTAATCTTATTTTAATTAGATTTAGTACCGGTAAGTAGGTACCTACTCCTACTGTCATTGTTGAATTTGAAAATTTATTGTTATCAAGAGGGTAAATTGTCTCCCGGTTGAAATCATCTAATTATTGTCTCTAATAATGGCTGTCTGACACTGTATGTCTATTATATTACAGTATAGGCCTATGTATTTTCTCTTAAAGTCATATAGTTGTCTAGACATATTCTGTATTAGCTGATAACCTATATTTTGTTGTTGTCTGTAGTATTTTTTAGAATTACAATATAAAGTTTGGTATTCTTGAAAAAGTACCAGAGACTGGCAATTCCAGCTTTTATTTATCCTCTAGCATGTAGGTTGATACCTTGATGCCATTGGTCCAATGAGTGAGAATGATTGTGTACTGGAAGTGATGACATTCTATGAATTAAGTTAGCTAGTCAGAAAATATTTGGATAACTATATCGCTTTAAAGGCATGTCAAGGGCCCAAATGCATGTTACATGAATACAAGAAACAAGCATTGTGGCTATTGCAGTCAAGGTATAAGGTGAAGTTTTAATAGCTTGACATTGTGAAGATGGTCTAAATATAGCCTATATAAATCATATATTTTATTGTACCAAAACAGCATTATATATTTACTATGATTGTCTCATTTTTTATTTGTTAAATTCTTTAAAAATTAGTCTATAAAAACTAAGTTCTCAAATTGTTGCTGAATTGACACTTGATGTTAATCTCTTATAGTTTGTTGTGCCAGTTTTTAACTTTGCATTCTTAAAAGTACTACAGGCAGCTGAAATAGAGAATGTTTCTAAGTCTTCAGATTCATGGGTTTCTATCTATCTGTGATATATTTATATGTTCATTGTTACTAATTTATATTAAGTGGTTAACAGTTTACATTTTTATCTGATACCTGTATCACTATTCATAACTACATTTCATTCTATGGTTTGCCTACAATTAGACAAAAAAAATTGATATGATATGACAGGAAATTTTTTTTTTTTAAATTTACCTAAATTTTCACAAGTTTTTACGTTGCTCTTGGTTATCTAATTGTAGACAAACCTAGCAACAATTGGGAAAAGGTAATTTTGGTTAAAATATCACAAGTTTTAGACATGAGAAATATGGCCTCGTTTTTGTTTTTTAATTGAAAAGCGTTTTCTATATTGTCATGTTTTATGCCATATATAATTGTTAATTTTATATCTTATTTATATCAATTAATATTTTGAAGGAATTTATTACTTATTGTAAATATATATTTTAATTTAATACAAATTATGCCAAATTCTGTAATTTAAGGTTTTGTTTCTAGCATTTTAATAAGACATATCCTCACTGGCAACCAGGGAACCAGCTTCTGTTAAAAATAGAATATTTAATGTCTTGTAGTACAAAGCCCAGACAAACCCCACAAACAGTTCAACATCCATTTGTGTCAGAATTATCCGTGTTTGATAATTAAAATATCGACTCTTATTTTTTTGAAACTCTGAAAAGACATATTTAAAAAGAGAAAGTGAAATTTATTGAGGTATATTTTTGAAGGGATTTCCTAACCTAATTCATAACCTATGGCAGATATTTTAGTTCTGCTTGTTCTCTAATGTCCAGATAGTCAATGTAGATATTCCTGCCTAATTTCAGCTTTATAGCTTTGTTACTTTTGACATTTTGAATTTATTTGGATATGAACATTTTTGTAAATAAATACTAGAAAGAATTGTTGGTATATTGAAATGACTAATCTTAAGGAATATAAAAATGACCTGTGATGATTATTTAGTAGTTAAATGGACAGTTTAGTTTGGTTTCACTGGATTTCGATTCATTAGTTAGAATTTGTATTAAGATTATTATTGAAAATTTTGTACTTGGCTTTTGAAAGTTTTTTTGGGATAGGTTCAATGCTTTGAAATGTTATTACACTTTCTCTGGAATACTTTTTCACAGTCTACATAGCGTATATGATTTTAAATGATGTTTGGGATAGTCAACTCTCTATCCCATTTAGAGAATCTATATACTGGTAACTATAAGATTTATTTGGTATTTGGATTAGTCCCCTCTTTATCCCATTCAGAGACTCCACATAGCTAATAATGTTTATGTGACATTTAGCTTTGTAAATTGGAATCTCATTCAGAGAAGACTCATGGCTAATATTTTGAATATATTTATTACAAATGTCTATCGAAAGCGCAATTCAAAATTTGAATGAATTTTTGGAATTAAATATCTTTTCTTGAGTTATTACCATTCAGTGAAAATACATGAAAGCAAAGTAGTGAGATGAATTTTATTGATTTTTCAATAGTTTGAACAACTGTTATTATAAAATATATTTTTTCATTCTCAATTTCTATATGACAGGTGTTTCTACCAGCTCAATTTAACTCTTGATAGGCTACCAATTATAACTAACTGGATGATACAACTTAAAGGGGCAGTATGCAAACTACACCATCAATGTATCTATTTGATCGGCCTTAATTATTTTAGGTAAAAGGGTTAATTAAAAACAGAGTGTATTAATTGGCAGTTTGATCTAGTTTTGGTTAATAATGACTCAGTATTATTAGTTGAAATCTTCAGAGTAAGTAGGAGATATATTTCTCTACAATTTATTTGGCTAATATTCATATAATAGTTTTCCAACACCAACCAAAAAACAATGTGACGTTAATGTTTTTATCTTAACCTTTTAACAAGTTTTTAAAGTTAAGCTAAAACTTTCAGGTAAGTTAAAGGGATACTACGTTTTAGAATACACGCGTCCTTGTTAATATTTGTGTTTAATAGTGACCATTGGTTAAATAAGTATGCATCCCACACTTTATCAAGTTTGAAAAAGCGACAATAAAACTATAATCAGAATTTTTAAAAAAAGTGAGCAAGCGATGAATCCGTTCAGTTTGAGAAAGAAAGAGTCTGGGTAATCAACGCTAAAACAGGAAACAATCATCTTCCGGTGTATACAAACAAACTTTGCCAATAATTTATTATAATATTCATTCTAAATTAAATGAATTGCTTAATCTCCTTCGAGGCATTGTTATTCCATCTTCAAAATATGTCTGACAATGTTGATGTCAATTCAAGAGTAGAGGTCAAGGACGCGGGAAACCTTGAGAGTTACTTCCCCTTGTGATTACACCGGATTTTCTAGACTCATGATTTGAAAATTGCTTAATGTATTAAGCGTTTTATAATCAATTACTTGATTTTGTGGATATATATCGGATTATAGAGGGATTTTGATGTATAGTTACGACAGGGGGGTATGTCCACTGATGGATATATACTGTTATTAGCCAAATTTGCGCAAAACTAAAATTTTATGTTCATTCCAAGACGTAGTAACCCTTTAAGGGACACATTTCTCTAGATTTTAGTACATAGTTTTCATAAATTTGAGATAAAAAAATTTCTGACCTACAAAAAAAATTAAGACTGCCCCTTTAAACTTTTTAAAGTTACTATGTTTTTGGTTGGTGTTGGATAATAATGTATGAAATATGTTCTATAACTTCCTAAAAAAAGAAGGAAAGTTAGAACAATTGAAACATTTTCCGATGGCCTGAGGGTTGATTTTAACACTGAATATATAGCCTTGGGGGTAGGGGAGAATATAGACTAAGTTAATCTCTACCTTGAAGCTGAATTAAAGATTCATTGACTTAATTAACTTAATTAGGCTTACCGGTAATTAATCTTTATCAATTATCAACTTTGACAATTTTCATATTTGACCCTAAATCAGGTCTGTTAATTTTATTATGCCAGTCATGTCTGATTTGAGTCTTAGATTGCTGATTTGAATTCACTTTATGTACTCACCCATAGTATGAACGCTATTGAAAATCAGAAAAATCAAATAATATTTAGTATGGGTTATTGCTTTCAATTTTAGCTTGTAAAGGCTCTAGAAGGTTCAATTCTGGACAGATTTTGACACAACTTGGTGTGAATGTTTGTTATCATCTAAGGATGATCCCTATTGAATATCAGAAAAATCAGAAAATATTTAGTATGAGTTATTGCCCTTGTTCTTGAAAACGCATTCAATCTTTAGCTGGTAAACACTTTAGAAGGCACAATTCCTGATGGATTTTGATGAAACTTGGTGTGAGTGTTAATAATCAACCAAGGATGAACCCTATTGAAATCAGAAGAAAATCAAAAAATGATTATTGAAAGTGTGTTCAATTTTTAGCTTGTAAATGCTCTAGAATAGAGGGTTCAATTATCATATTTTGACTCAAAAAGTTTGAAAGAAGTGTGTCTGAAGGTTGAATATTTCAGACTGATATCCTGTACTGCCAAATATTTTTATTTAAAATGAAAGCTGCCAGTGGGCGTATATTACATTGCCTATCTATCTTTGAATTAAATAAAGGTTTTTTTTTTCATCCGTGCTATCTTTGAAACTTTATCGGGATATCTCGCATACATTCATAGATTAATTTAAAGTGGATAGGCCCAAATTTAACCCATGCTAGCCTTCAAAATATAAAAATGTAGTCATTTATTACAACGAAAATAAACAAAAGAAAATGAAAGTATGCTTCATCATCTAGTCCAAATTAAATTTCATTGATTATTTTTTGATCGAAATATCAGCTTTCCTCCTTTGTTTACCCTGAGGCAATAAAACACGTGGCTTATACTACACGTGGACTGTAACTAAAAATACATTTTGAATGACCAATCAATTATTAGTATCAATAATTATGTAACCAATCAGATTCAAGTTGGCATAATGTTTCATCCAATCAGAGAAATAGAAAATATCTCTCAACCAATCAATTGGTGAGAAAATCTTGACCGGTATCCTGTCATTTTCATAGCTCGCCACGTAGAAAAGGGGGCGACCATTCGGCTAATAAATAATTCAGCCCTCTATTAAATCACAAAACGTGTGTTTTACTCGGTCTCTGTGCATCAAATTGGGTTAAGATGGCGTCTATCAAGATCTTAGCAGTTTTCCTAGCGTACGTTTGTTACTGTTATGCAAACGATGAACTTAAAATCGAGGTGGTCGAGAAGCCAGAAAATTGTGAACGAAAATCTAAAAAGTTGGACAACCTGCAGATGCAATACACAGGCACCTTAGAGGATGGCAAGAAATTCGATTCGAGGTAAAAACGTGTTATTTTATTTAAACTTTAACAAAACATATGTTCAGATTTTTTTTAAATTCAATGAATGTGTCATCAATTATGGAAGTGGGAGAATTCCTCCATAATCTAGTTGGAAATATCCACCCACAGGCATTCGTAGTTTGTCATATCGGAGTTTCAGTAATATCACTTATCTTGTAATATCAGATTTTCTGATATGGTGATATTATATGATATACTATTACAAAGACCAGAACAAGATTTCACATGTGGTAAGTGAGCAATCAATGAACGGTGTCCATACACAGAGCGAAATTCTACACAGTTGATTGTTGTTGCTCTGACTTGTATGATCAGGGTCAGAGGTTGTTTGCGGAATTAGTGATGCAATTCAGAGGGCATCCTCTCTGCAGTCATAATTCCATCTCTTTCCCAGATGAACCCAGTTGGCTTGTTTTTGTGACCATGACCATACTTTTTGTCACATGATTTTCAATCATCATACTTGCATTTGTGTATATGTTTTGTTTGGTAAATCAGAAAATGCTTATGAACCTAGTAATATATGGAACGTCCTCTTCAAACTCTGTTTTATACCTTGACTGCAATAGCAGCTATTCTAGTATTAACCATGTTAGTCAAAGCAGCGATTTGCATCGGATTGTACATGATAGAATACAGCCCTCGAAAGAAAGTGTGTACACCATAAGCCAAAATGTTATGTCAAGGGCTCTGATTGGTTTTAATTGTTGGCGTACAGTCCAATAAAATTGCTGCATTCAATAATATTAGGAAGGTGGCTATTGCGGTCAATGTATGAGACAACATTCTTAATAGTTTTAAATTATGAAAATGATGATATGAATGTACAGATAATGTCAATTTGAGAATAATCTACCATCACAACTTTGACATAATAAACAAAGCTGGTTGTTAAAGTCCCTTGACTACAGTTCATACTTTGCTAAAGTTTAGAAAAGAACTTCTTTTACCATTTCATAAAATAAATTTACTCAAGACATTTTGAAATTTCTTTCCAGCAAAGATCATGGTCAACCCTTTTCCTTCCAGTTGGGCGTAGGACAAGTTATTAAGGGCTGGGATCAAGGTTTATTGGATATGTGTGTAGGTGAAAAAAGAAAACTTGTTGTTCCCTCAGAATTGGGATATGGTGCTTCTGGTGCAGGTAAGTCGAATGACGGATTGTTAATAGTGATTCAAAATTTTTTTATGTGTTTGGGGCCTCTGATAGTATCAATCTGCACTATTCCAATTTTCAATCAGATTTTCTTAGCATTTTATTACATCCCCATTGCTGAAGTTGTTGATGGTATATAAGAACTCTTATGGTAGGGATATCAGTAACCTACAAATACACAAAAAAGATAAGATAGCGTCTTTACAATCAATACCTTTTACCAATATTTTTCTCTTTATGCAAGATTTTACAGTTTTAGAAACTGTGGTTTCCCTATGAAATAACTATGTAATGATCATCATTAAATGTTGTTACTGCATGACCTTGCGATATATCTCTTCTATTCTTTGTAATTGATTTTCAGGATCAGTCTAAAGTTCTTTAGGCTACTATATATTTTGTAATAACACCACCAGTGCTTCTATTTTGAATTCAACCAGACCCCCACCTTAAGTAAGCTTATAATTATTTGATTATTTCAATATTCCTTTTTTTTAGGCGATGCCATTCCCCCAAATGCCAAATTATTTTTCGATGTAGAATTAGTTGATATCTCTGATGGTGAAGCCCCACCCAATGTTTTTAAAGAGATAGATGCCAACAGCGATAACCAACTTTCTGTGGATGAGGTAGGACTACAGACCGCACTGTCTGATTTTGGTGATGGGTTGGCAAATACTGCTGGGACATATGTTTATGACTTCTTGTGGAATTTTGTACTAAGTTTTATTGTAGCTTTGCTGTAAACAGGTTTGCACACATTTGAAAATTTGTGAATGTCGTCAAAAGTAGATGTAGTACGGCAAATTGCATGGTGTTATAAGTGTAGATAGTCATAGATTTTTATTTTTCAAGGTGGTCTTTTTGTATATAACCCTTGATCAAGCATGCTGAATTTCTTGGAATATAATTTAGGAAAGGAGTCTTTCAGCAAATAGTTTCATTGATACAAAACATTGCATGTAAAGGATTCTGTTGTCCTGTATGTAGCATTAAATGGAGGGAGAGGGCTCATTTTTCTCAATCTTTTTGCTTTTTTTGTGAGAAAGATGGAATTTTGTAATGTATAGGCCTTGTATTGAATCTGTTTTTATTGATTCATTTTAACTCGAAGGCCACATAATGAAAATCGATTGTGCTTGTTTTGAAAAATATTAGAATTATACTTAAATATGCATTTGCCTCTGTTGCATTGAAAACTTAAAAAGGTCATAGAAATTGAAATTTTCTTTCAGATCGCTGGTTATTTAAAAGAGCAAGCTACTAAACACAACGCCCCCACGGAGGGTCAAGAAGAGCAACATGACAATATGATTAAAGAAATTATGGAACATGAAGATAAAGACAAGGATGGATTCATCTCACATGAAGAATTTAGTGGACCAAAACACGACGAATTATAATCCAAATTTAGTTTTATTTATATTGACTGCTTGTGTGTATGAAAGTTGAATGGTCATTTAGTGTTAAAATGGCTTTTAAACAAATTTGGAAACTGACATTGTGGCAAGGTGAATGTGAATTTAGTCTTCTGTTCTATTATGATTTCACAACTTGAATTTGCTGAAAATGGAAATGAGAATTTTAAGTTTTCATCAAAGTAATATTTCACTTAGGTAGCCATATTTGGAAAGGAGAATACTTACTGGGAAATCCTTTTTTGTGAGGTATCTTGTGCTTTTTCATGACACGAGACCATATTCATATCATGTCCACAAACCACCATTGAACTAGGCAGCATATTAGGGTTTGTTTTATATTAGGATTATTGATTAGTATTTGCCAGTCATGGTTGACTTGGACTGCAATTTTAATAAATGACTAATTGGCTTGAACTTGTTTGGCAGAACTTTTAAAATGTTTCAAGATTCCTTAATTTTTGTCTTCAAATGTAAGATAAATACTATTTGCCTATTGCCAGAATAATCCTAATATGTTGTATGTTAGTATTGTGTATGAAAGTTAATAGTAATATGGGTCAAGGGTTTCTAGTCTAGTTTTAAATAGGGAATTATTATCAGGAAACCTGGACAGTAATTGGCGGTCTGTACAGACCGGGAACCATAATTAAAGGGAAGAAGTGGATAAGAAATTTGTTAAAATTTGAGGAAGGTCTTGAGGATGGGGAATAGGGCACAGTAACTTTGTCAATTTTAGGAAGGGTCTTGAGGGTGGGTTAGTCAATTTTGGGGAGGATCTTAAGGGTGTGGGTTAGTCAATTTTGCAGAGGGTCTCAAGGGGCGGATGGGTAACAGTCAATTTTGGGGAGGGTCTTGGGGGTGCGGGTGGGTTACAGTCAATTTTGGGGGGGTCTTAAGGATGCGGATGGGTGACAGTCAATTTTGGGGAGGGTCTTGGTGGTGGGTTGCAGTAACTTTGTCAATTTTAGGGAGGGAATTGAGGGTTGGTTAGTCAATTTTGGGGAGGGTCTTAAGGGTGCATTACAGTCAATTTTGGGGAGGGTTTTGAGGGTGCGGGTGGGTTACAGTCAATTTTGGGTAGGGTCTTGAGGGTGGGGATGGGTTACAGTAACTTTTAATATGATCTTCCAGTTTTATGTATCAAACTGACTATTTTTAATAAATAAAAAAATAACATTTTTTTTTTTTCACTTCTAGCTTGTACCTCTTTTTGCCCATGAAAAAGCTACTTTGAATATATATTTATTCATTATTGCATAGTCATAATTCACTCTCGAAGTCTATGATATTGATCTCAGGTCTTGCTTGCTGTGTCTGTGATGGAGCATGGCATGTCAGTTCAATCGAAGTCTCTGTGACATTGACAGGTTGTACTCGCTGTGTCTGTAACATTGACATCAGGTTGTACCCACTGTGCCTGTAACATTGACATCAGGTTGTACTCGCTGTGCCTGTAACATTGATGTTAGGTTGTACTCGCTGTGTCTGTAACATTGACGTCAGGTTGTACTCGCTGTGCCTGTAACATTGACAACAGGTTGTACTCGCTGTGCCTGTAACATTGACATCAGGTTGTACTTGCTGTGTCTGTAACATTGACATCAAGATAATACATAAAATTACATTACACATTATGCTATAATCCCAAAACAAAATGTTGGTTTCACATAAAGATTGGGATATCAAAACACAGTCAAGTTTTATAAAAAACATACAATACAACAAAGAAAAAAGGCACTTAAATAGGCATTATCCCAATAAATGCCTTTGATAATCTACCAACACTTTAAAAGCTGATAGACATCCATTGCTGTTTTTGGAATTACAATTTGACTAAATAGCTGAAACTGAATTATATCAGCTGGTAAAGGAAATATTTAGATGAGTGTCCACCTACTCTTTTAGTTTTGATTTTTCACTGAATGTCTGAGAATTAAGATGACTGTAGTCAAGGCATTTAGTGGGATATTGTCCTGTTTTGATTATAAAGATGCAATGTATAATACAGAATTATACAAAATAATACAAGTTTTCAATGAAATATAAAGCAATGCTTGCTATAGCAGTGCATTTTAACACATCTTCGACCGTAAAGCTTGGCAGTCGTTTTAACTACTAATCCTTTAACTAGAAAGTAAGTTTTCACATAACTTAATTTGATTCGTTGCCTATTAAGTTCTTGGCCAATAAAATTCCTCAATCAATATTGTATAATTCTGTATGGTAACAATAGTAATTGGTCAATCTGTTCAAGTTTTATGTGAAAGTCAATTTAATTAAAAGAAGATAACAATTTCTTTTTGTTATTTTCACTCTCCATTGTAATCTAAAAAGATTTATAACAAGGTCGCATACTATTGGTGTTCATTTCAACCAATCACACCGCATCATGCAGATTCTGTGTCTAAATATGAGACTGCCAATAATTGCTCTAAAAGTGATTCTGATTGGTTGGAGAGTGAGGCATGATAAATTAATATAAATAACTTGTACCACCAGTACACGACCTTGATATACATCTTGTTAGATTACAATGAATACTATAAGAAAATAAAAACAAAACTAATTTGTAATCTAATTGCAATTAGATTGATGTAACTGTAGTATCTGCTGCTGGTTTTGAATTTTGATACTGACTCACAACCCTGTGGTCTTCAGATTATGATCATTAACATTTCTTAAAATGGAAAACCATGAACCTATGGAAGACATAATAAATTATATAAAATATGTATAAATAATGCTTATCTGGTCTTTCAGATAATTTGTCTAAATCTGAATGTTTGACTTTAGAGTTAACTAGTATAAAGCACAGTTGTTCAACATGAGAAAACATGAAAATATGTACAAAGCTACCTTCTATGAAATCCTTATAATATACAACAGAAAAATTCTAATAAAATAGATGACAACCATTTTTGTTTTGCTATGTTTTGAATGCTTGAAATATTAGCAGTTTAAAGACATGCTATATTAGGGAAGACTGTCTTCAATTTTCATTATATGAAATTTTGATTTCTAAGAACACAAAATATGATATGCTGATTTGGGGTGCTGTTTACTTCTGATTGGTCATCTAAACATCAACAATATCTATATTATCAGACTTCACAACTCTTGGTAATATTCTTCAGGATGTTCCACTGTTGTACTATTGTCTGTTTATAGAAACATCAGACATCACCTAACTCTGGGTTATATACCAGAAGTTGTATTTTTGGTCTACATTGTTAGCTTGTAGACACAAGAAATCACTGGGTGTACTATTGTATGATAAGGGCAAGCCTATGAACTTTATTTTCTAAAATTTGGTATTTTGGTGAGTGTTTTCAGTGAGTTTTACTGGTGAGATTTTCAGTGAGTATTTTGATCTATTTAAGCGTGATTAATAAATCTTGTATAAAATCTAACAGCGAACTGGTTTCTGACTGATCTTTAGGAAGTCTGATTGACATTGAACACTGAAATAAAATTAAAAGGATATAAAAACATCGCACAATGCCCTGAGCAATCAGGAAAATTCTGAGGTAGAATAAACATTTTTTAAAATTTTACTTGTTATTGTTGTAGCTTCCTGTTGAGTTCAACAAAAGCGAGTTTTACACCCCAGAGTTTTTTTTCAGTCAAATAAAGATATACACATCCCAGTACAATTCACAACACTTAATTTTTAGATAAAATAAATAGAAACTATTTTTTCAGCACACGTGGAAAACATTCTGTTTTATTGAATGTCATGTTGATTCCATTAATCGTGAAAGGTGCAGAACTCACCAATCAAGTGGCCCCTATATGAACTAATGAACACAGTTTTCCAAAGTAATATTTTGTCCCTTATTGGGTAAATGACAAAAATGCAAATTAATTAATTTTTCTTATCAAAATCACGTTGTGTGAAAGGACATACCTTAATTTTCTGTAAATAAGTAACTGATGGCCTCCACTCATCCCTATATTTAACCAGATCCTCACTCCCTTGATAAAACTGTACCAACTTTTTCTACAAATATGTATCATGGAAGTTTGTGATTTGGTTGGACTTAGTGAATACAGCAATCATAAACATAATGTTTACAGCCTTTATGTAGAGGGCTCTGATTGGCTGTTTTAGATGGCGTTCAATCAAATCAAGTTGCTACATTTCATGAAACAAGAAATGTGGCTATTACAGTCAAGGTATAAGACGAAGTTGGTTTAGCTTGAAATTGTGCATGGTATCACAAATACGAATTTTGACTTGGTCTTGTTAACCTGTATTAAACTAAGCCCACTACACTTCGTGATTGGTGCTATTTAAATTTGACCAATCACATTGGTAGAACGGGAATGAGGTCATGTAAACAAAGCACAACACCACATACATATACACTAACATTCGTCACAAAGTCATTTTGGTGCAGCGTTATTTTCACACATTGATTTAGACATTACTTCAATAAGGCACATATTCATTTAGGCACTGTGATTAAGGCACGCTTCTTACTAATCTTTGGTACAAGGTATTTCTGCATGACTAATAGTGTGCCTAAATGACTGTTTATCCCAAATAATAACTAAATAATAGCAGCGCCTGGAGACTGAGGTACAAATAGGGGGCAGAATGACTCCATGAGGAGACAACTGTCAAGGCTGAAATGTGGCAACTCTATGGAGGAGTCATTGTCTGGAGTTTAAATTTGATGCATTCTGACAAATATTTTGGGGCAAAAACAGATAAAAATCATATTTGTAAATTTCACATTAACTGGTGGTACAATTAGGAGAGCAACCATTTTTTTGTGGGGGGCCCCCCTGTAACCCCAGTGGTGCTGCAACTAAATTATAAAAAAATCTCACCATTTCTGTGAGTAGCTCTTCAGTTAAAGATTCATTTTGATAAACATTGTACTTCATATTCATAGGAATACCATAATCACTTGGACGGTTCTATAATACAAAGTGGGTTTATATCATAATCATACTAGAGTGTTCACAATTTTCTAAGATAGCTTGCCACACAAAGTTATACGTCTACGGGAAAAACATAACAAAGATTTGTATGGTCAAAAGGACGAATTCAATGACTTAAAAAATGTTCATCAAAATATTGTAAGGTTAAAACCTGGACATTTCAGATATTAAGAGATAATATTTACTTCTAGAGGGGGCATAACCCAATATCCTTGTATTTGACAGGCCTCCTTGTATCTCGTCTTGTCATATGGAGCTGCAATAAACATTCAGAAACTAATCAACATTTTCAAAACCCAAAACATACTTGTGCACCCAGTTTTTCCTGTTAAAACATAATGTGTTATTTTATATATTTTTTTAACATCAGATGGTCTTAGAAAAAGAATGTACCTCTCCATATCTTTAATAAAAAAAGGGCCAAGATAAAAACTTACAGACAATAAATCCTATACAAGGGTGATAGTTATGACCACTTCCCTTCATTTTTAACTGATACATCATCTGACATCCAATATCTTTTAAAGATGGGTCTGCAGGACTGTGAGGATGGCTGTGATACCAACCTACTAAACCCAGGCCACTCTGTGACATATGTCGTTTAATCTAGAATACAAATAATGGTTTAATTTTAATTCTTATATAAAAGAGTTGGCCAATCTGAAATATTTTCATTGATGCAGCCCCGCCGGAAATGTTCAATGCAGAATTATGAAATCAAACATTATTAATCCCAATTTTAATAACAATACAGGCCACTCTATGCTATCTGTCTTTTGATGAAGAGTAGAAAAAGTAATGGCTCAATAAAATTTCAAAATGATATCTTTATAGTCAAAATCATTATTCACTTATCATTAACCATATAGGCAACTAAAGTCAAGTCTCTCTGAAACACGAACACTTTAAATGCAACAGTCAAGTAATTTCAACATGCTCAGCATGTCTGTTTTTTGTCCCAGTAGAACGCCCTGCTTCATAGAAAAGACCCCAGCAGACTCCTAACCAAACCAAACTTATAAAGTTGGACCATTAAATGTTTAACTGATATGTTTCAAGGGCAGAAGCTCTGCTCATATCAATAAAAAGAACATACCTCCTCTTCTATGATAGGTGCTCTATCTTTATCACCAAGACGACACCGACATGGGTAAATTTGTCGTATGCTCATATCTACAATGTTATAATTCACCTCCTCATTAGATTTTGAAATAAACTCCATATGAGCCTTCTAACACCAACTTTACAATGTCAACCTATTATAAACTTATACCTTGACTGCAATAGTCTCTTTTCTAGAATTATTAGTTAGTTATAAAGACATGTCATCTCTTTATGAGACACTGCCATATATAGGAAAGACATCTATAGAAATAGGATAATAAATTACTAGTTTGAGATATTTTTGAAGGAAGTACATCTGAAGACTATTTACATGTATCAAGACTCATATCAATCCCCAAAAATGGCGCATTAGTGTTAGAATTATTTGTCATTCTAAGCATACAGTATATGTCATCAAATTTCTCATTCATAGACTTGGCTTGCTTTCCAAGATATTTCCTTTTTGATTTCTTAACCTTGATATATTCCTTTCACTAGGGATGATTTAAGTTTTCTAATCATTTGATTGGTCAATCTTTAATAATGATCTTGAATTTAGTTTTTCTTTAAGATTTGCACTCTTCAAGCCATCCAATTGGTCAATATTTAAAATTCATGATGGTTATTTTAACAAATCAAATTGCTACATCTTAATTTTTATCTCATTCATTAAATTTAAAGATAAAGAAAATTTCTGTAATGGTACATACGTTGTGATGTGGCATCCCATTTTCCACCCAAGTAACCTACAATCTCTGAATGGGTCAAATGACTATGAAAATCCTGAAAAATAGATCACCATTACGAACTGTGGTTTCTCTCTAAAAGCAATCTGTGTGTCAGTATGTGTCATATTTCCTCACTACATACTGTTTTGTATCTTCATAAGAACAACAAAAAAAGAGTTATTTTTATATTTGCTTGCCCAAAAGGAAAATTTTAAGGATAAAAAATGATGACTTACCATTAACAACATGGCATTGGTTGTCATGGAAACTGTGAAAGGCTGTTGATGGTTATATTTACTAAATGATTCACAAATAACCAGGGTGTTGGGATCTCTGAAAAAAACACAAATATTTTAAAAACAGAGAAGACTAGGTGCCAGTTTTACAAAAACTTATCCCAATTTTAGTGTTGGTCAATCAATAACTAGTTCTAATATAGTTCATTAAATTAATCAATTTGCTTTCTTAAAATCTCGATTTTATTTCAGTTAAACATTTTTTGAAACATTTTTTTTTTATAGTATATATCTAATATACTAATAATTGAAATATAAGTAATACAATTCTATAAAAAGTGCTAATAATATCTTAACCCTTTGAATACTGAGTGTAAATGAAATACAACTTCATATATCCTGAACTCCAAGTAATATAACTCAAAAACTTATAATGTTAACATCACATAGTAGAAGCCATATGTATATATTGCATTATTAGGGTTGGTTTGAAATGGTCATGGTCAATAGTGACATCATAATATACTTAGTTTTGTGGAATTGCAAGACCAACAAAAATCTGACTGAAAAATTGGAATAGTACAAATTGATTCTTTCAAAACCCCATTTCAATCAATCAATCTCAATCAATTAAAGGCTCAAAATAAGGTTGTAACTATGAAAATAGTTGTAAATATGATTGTAACTTACATGTCAATGCTGCATTTACCAATTGTATCATATCTTACACTAGGCCTATTACAACTTCCATTGACTTCAAATTTAAATCCTTTCTTTACATTGGATATAACATTTTTATTTTCATCAGAATTATGGAGGGAAAGATTTAATGCTGAAAACAAAAAGGACAGTCTGTAGCTCAGTCTGTTAGAGTGTTAGAATCTTTATGTCATTAGCTTGGTTATTGGGTTCTAATCTGTCACCGTAGGAATCAGTCAATCAGAATAAAAAACTAAACAATAATTCATGTTGACCCTGCTGTAATTGGCTATGGATAATCAGGGAAAGATGAATGTATTATTTTTGAAAAATATAGATGATTTTTTTTTCCTTTTTTTAAACATTCAATTAAAAGTCAAATGAACTTGCATTGGTCTGTAAGTTTTTGAATAGCTATTTGATTTTCAGAATCAACCATCACCAGGAGTGTTTCAATCTTGCATAATACATTCAAACAATGGTGGCCATTCGTTTTCTTTAGGTACATGCTCAATGCTGGTCCTAACAGACAAAAGGAGATGGGTCTATAATATCTAAACATACCTTCTTCTTGTATGTCATCAGCAAAATAATTGGATAAAGGCCTGAAATAAAATGTGACAATGATTTGACTGCATGCTTATAGATTTCAAAGTATATGTATCCAAATAAAAAAATTCAGTCAGCGTAGCTTTCAGAATCCACATAGTTAAATGTATATTTGGTATTCCTTGGAAAATATGATGGGAGTTTTATGTCCTATTTTTCAGTACCTAATTGGACTAATAAAGATGGGAAATGCCAATGTTCAATGAGAGAATATTTTCCAGGATAGCAATATAAATCAACTCTTTTTTAATTTCAAATTGTCAAGGGATCTTTAACACTGACAGGAGGCAACCTGATAAAATCCAAAGGTATTATCTCAGCCTTTCCCAGGATTGAACCCTGGACCTTCAGTTAGCAAGTATCTAACTCAGTGAGCCACAAAGGCTCCCTTTTCCATAGAGAATGTCTTCATTGTTAAAATCTTTCTTGGTATGTGGGATGTTCATCTTAGAAACTTTTCAAAGAGTTTGCAGTGCTCAAGAGAATGAGGGACACAAAGTGAATAAAAAAAAAACATAATGTGAAAATAATAAAGGATAAATGTATGCTTACTTTTTTGGTGTTCCATTGTACATACTTAGTGGTGAACTGGTAGAGAGAGGTGATTCTATAAGCTTATTGTCAAAGCCCTGTGGTGTAGAGTGCTTGTTATCATAGCCCTGTGGTGTTGAAAGCAGACTGTTGTCACTCATACTGTGATTTCCATTTGTTGAGTTTAAGGACTGGAAAAAAGAGGAATAAGTCTAGGTGAACCAACTCAACATCTCTTTCAGGGAGTCTACATAGCTAATAATGTCGATTGATATTTGGGATAACAATCTTAGCATAAGAGTTCTCATTGCATATAACATTCATTTGGTATATTCATTGAATATCGAAAAAAAATGGCAAACTTATCCTCATTGTACACTGTATAGCTTTGCCAACATTTCATATACCTTTTACCCTAAAAAAAATAATCAGTTTTACCATTTTGACATTTGGAGTGTCATTTCGTTGTTTTCCACACCAAATAGATTTCCATGTGTCTAACTTAGTTCCTTTATATTTTACCTTGTAAAAGAAGATAATAAACTTATTAAAGTTATTCTAAAACTATCATTACTGTATTATAAATATATTGTAAATACAACCATATACACAGTCTAGAGTCTAATGTAATATTACCAGTCTAGAGCTCTATATGAGTGCAAATATGACTGGTAAATACAACTAAATCATCAATCTAGAGCTCTAGTACGATATGAATGGTAAATACAACTAAATCATCAGTCTAGAGCTCTAGTACGATATGAATGGTAAATACAACTAAATCATCAATCTAGAGCTCTAGTACGATATGAATGGTAAATACAACTAAATCATCAATCTAGAGCTCTAGTACGATATGAATGGTAAATACAACTAAATCATCAATCTAGAGCTCTAGTATGATATGAATGGTAAATACAACTAAATCATCAGTCTAGAGCTCTAGTACGATATGAATGGTAAATACAACTAAATCATCAATCTAGAGCTCTAGTACGATATGAATGGTAAATACAACTAAATCATCAATCTAGAGCTCTAGTATGATATGAATGGTAAATACAACTAAATCATCAGTCTAGAGCTCTAGTACGATATGAATGGTAAATACAACTAAATCATCAATCTAGAGCTCTAGTACGATATGAATGGTAAATACAACTAAATCATCAATCTAGAGCTCTAGTATGATATGAATGGTAAATACAACTAAATCATCAGTCTAGAGCTCTAGTACGATATGAATGGTAAATACAACTAAATCATCAATCTAGAGCTCTAGTATGATATGACTTGTAAAAACAATCAAATCAACAGTCTAGAGCTTTAGTGTGATATGACTTGTAAATACAGTCAAATCAACATTTGAGAACTTTAGTCAGACATGACAGGTAAATACAGTCAAATCAACATTTGAGAACTTTAGTCAGACATGACAGGTAAATACAGTCAAATCAACATTTGAGAACTTTAGTCAGACATGACCGGTAAACACAGCCAAATCAACATTGAGAACTTTAGTCAGACATGACTGGTAAATACAGTCAAATCAACATTTGAGAACTTTAGTCAGACATGACAGGTAAACACAGCCAAATCAACATTTGAGAACTTTAGTCAGACATGACAGGTAAATACAGTCAAATCAACATAGAGAACTTTAGTCAGACATGACTGGTAAATACAGTCAAATCAACATTGAGAACTTTAGTCAGACATGACTGGTAAATACAGCCAAATCAACATTGAGAACTTTAGTCAGACATGACAGGTAAATACAGTCAAATCAACATTGAGAACTTTAGTCAGACATGAATGGTAAATACAGTCAAATCAACATTGAGAACTTTAGTCAGACATGACTGGTAAATACAGTCAAATCAACATTGACATTGACATTTTCAAGAACAAGGTCAATAACTCCTATGAAACATATTTTGGTTTTATTGATTCATCCATGGGTGATAATAGAGAATTTCACTCAGTTTCGTCAAAATCTGTCAAGAATTGAGCCTTTTAGAGTGTTTACAAGCTAAAAATTGAACGTCTTTTCAAGAACAACTCATACTAAATATTTTTTAATTTTTCTGATTTTCAATAGGCTTTATCCTTGGGTGATAACAAACATTCACACCAAGTTTCATCAAAATCTGTCAAGAATTATGCCTTCTAGAGCTTTTAAGAGCTAAAAATTGAATGAGTTTTCAAGAAAAAAGTCAATAACTCATACTAAATAATTTACGATTTTTCTGATTTTCAATAGGCTTTATCCTTGGGTGATAACAAACAATCATACCAAGGTTTGTTATAATCTGTCAAGAATTGTGCCTTCTAGAGTGTTTACAAACTAAAAATTGAACGTGTTTTCAACAACAATGGCAATAACACATACTGAATATTTTTAGATTTTTCTGATTTTCAATAGGGTTTATCCTTGGGTGATAACAAACACCCATGCCAAGTTTTGTCAAAATCCTTCAAGAATTGTGCCTTCTAGAGTGTTTACGAGCTAATAATTGAATGCGTTTTCAAGTACAAGGGCAATAACTTATACTAAATATTTTACGATTCTTCTGATTTTCAATAGTGATCATCCTTGGGTGATTACGTCAAGAATTGTGTCTTGTAGAGTGTTACGAGCATAATGGACGGACGGACAAACAGGCGGATGTGGGTGACGGCAATATACATGTATATGGGCGTATAAAAATTATACAATTTCAATAAAATATAAATCTACTTACAGAAGCCCATCCACAACCAGATTTTTTATCAGGTTTGACAATTCGTTTACAATGTCGAGCCCAGGCACTTGGTGTATTAAATATATTATCATGAGTTTTAATTTTACCAGTTTCTAATAGATCAGCTGAAAACTGCCTTCCCTGTTAAAAAATTATAATAAGAATAACAAGTGGTTTGATCACATTGGCCTCCACAACTGAAAAATAGCCTTAACCTATTTCAATTGGGGTATCTATGAATTCGTTTACAACAATGAGGGGGTACAGTCCTTTCAATATTTCTTTATCCACTGATAGTGCTCAACTTTATCCACCTGTACTTTTCAGAAATAAAGTCTGATGTGCAGTTCTCATGTATTGCACCAATTGAGTATAGCAGAAAAAATAAAAAGAAATGAATGAAGTATTATGTCATACATCGATCCACCCATGAAAATGGGCAGTGTGCAATTTTGCAGAGATTGCAGCATAAGCCTTCTCTGTTTTTTTATTTCCAACTGTCGCAGGTTTTATAAAGTGCACAAACAGTAGCACACAGGGCGTCATTTTTTTGGCTTGATCTTTCCCGGATTATCCATATTCACATACAGTTGGTCAACTGGAATTATGTGTAAAGATGACTTTTTCAAGGTCATCAAACTTTCACTTGCCAATCGAGATCTGAACCCACAACCTCCATTTGTTGGACGTAACACAGCAAATGATGTCACGTAAAAAACCAATGCTCTAACCTGCTGTTAGATTAGATATATGTGGTCCTACATACCAAATAGTCAATGCTCAGTACTCGTTTTCCTGGTTGTATCATTCCATCTGACATCAACATGAGTAACGTCACTCCTCGACTTTTATTCAGGGCATACCATCGCTTCTCATGGGAAGTTAGAGTGTCTTCATCAGAGCTGGCACCCCCTGCCTCATCATCTTTATCTCCCATTTCATCATCTTTATCAAACTCTTCAATATGTCCCCTGTCATCATTATGGAGCATAGCGTTAGCTGAAAAATAATTCTTATGTGAACTTTTAATTTCGTTCAATAAATTGAGATTTGTTGCCAAAATAAGAGCTATAACGGATATACATAACTACTGCTGTAGTTGTCTAATTATTTGCTTTACAGCAGGCTTAGAGCTCACTTGCAAGGAGTGAAATTTTTGACTCACACCACTTCAGTCAATTTCCTTAGGCAGCAATGACCAATGGCGTAATAATATCAAATAAGAAATTCATATCAGACTAGAAGTGACAAAAGTCTCAGCTGACACATTAGATTGAATTGCAGGAGAACCATAGGTTGCATTTTACTTTAGTTCATACCATGGACTATTATTTTTACTACGTATTCACAGTCCACCACCAGTACATAATGATTGTATGTAGGTGTAACAGTTCATGAGAGACAATAAAATCACTGATGGCCTGAGACAGCAAATAAAATCACTGATGGTCTTCAGGAAAATGGCAGAGAAAAATTTCATAATTTTCACTACTCGCGGATCAATTAAAAATTTGCGAAAATCGCATCTAGGTGTTGGCATTAATGGGCTTTAGTGTGGATTTGTTGTTCTGTTCACTTTTTTGCCTTAACTCTTGTTTACACAGTATAAACAACAAATCGACAGAAGCAAATCTATAAGACCTGTCGATTTCAACCAAAGTAAGTTAAAAATTCATAAATCTTGTCAACATATTGTACACAGTCTAGCTATAGATACATCGTTAAACTTTAGACAGCTCACCGACAATAGCTGAGCCTTCGCCCTTTAAATCCATGTGTGTCCAGAATTATCCACGTTTGAATGTTAAAATGACAACTTGTCATTTTAAGGCACTCTGTGATATATAGAAAAAGGCATATAGAAAGAAATTCCTAGTTATTTTTGAAGGAATTATGCGATTTTCGTACATTTCTATTTCAGACAACTATAACTTTTAAAGGAACACATGCACCATTCTTTTTGACCAATCATACTTTAGTCTCAGAAACAGGATCAATAATAGGGTTCATATCTCACCGACAATATCTGAGCATATTCTTGGATATGTAAAAAAGACATATATAGGGTGTGTTTTATTTGCTACACCGGAATCCTCCAGACCACTGTGATTCCCAAAAATGGCTGTAACTCTGAACCCTACGCTCGTAAAAGAGCAGTGTGGAGAGCTCTCCAGGTTCATCTGTTTTGCTCCACACCCATGTGCAGGCTTTAGGCAGAGAATGATGTCACAAACATGGTGACAAAAAAGATAGTAATAGTTCACGATTAGTGTTCACGGTCCCTAGATTGTACAATACATTCTTTAACATGTTTTACTATGATAAAAAAAAAACAACAAATCCTCGGTTGTGTTTGTTTATACTTCAATAATCGATGATATGACTCAATAGTACCCTCTTGGCAGGGGCATATCTAGAGAATGCCCTGAGGGGAGGGGTTTCAGGGCTGCCAGATGTCCCCAGAAGCCAGCGGATTTCAGATGGCCCCTGATGAATTTTGAGCATTTAGAGGGCTTCATTTAAATGTTTAAATAAGACCCTTCATAGGACAGAGGGAGGATTGCACAATGGCGTACCTGTCCATTTATAGGTTTTAATGAAAATAGGTAGCATCGTATGAACAGTGAAGCCTTCCACTACAAAAGTCTCATCCACTGTTGCAGTTTCTACCCCTTGCCTATCGTGCCTTTATAAAATTCATTGTTTCAAACAAAACAAAAAGTTTCAAAGTTTTTTCCGTTTCTATGAACTATGACATTGACAGTGCATGCAGGTTGAATAAAAAGACAGTTACGTTAGCAGTTTACCCATTGCAAAAACGTAAATAATGTACAACAAAAGCGAAATCTTCAATATTTCAAAACATTTTCTTTGTTTACAAATTGCATACACCGGAAGCAGTAACTTTAAACTTTAGAGCCGCAGTGGAAAAAAAAACAGAAACAAAAAAGACCCTGACAAAAAATCTTAATTAATTATTGAGATATTTAGACATGAAAATTATTTTATTGTTATAAATGATTGAAATATAATCAGAAAATAAATTTTCAAATACTTTTCCTCGGACTGTGCAATCCGGTAGTAAGATGGCTGTCATTGGTGAAAATAAGATATCTAAAATGGATTTTGTGAAATTAGGGCAAGATTTAGAGAATCAAGAACTAGAAGTGAGTTGTCATATGTAGTTTAAAGACTATTTGGTCCAAATTTGGTGTCATGGGGTTTATTGTCGTTCAGTGGTTTAACCTGTTTTCGTGCATATAAGGATTCAACATCGAATTTCATCAAAATGAAAAAAAGCTAATTTTTTTTTTTTATGTCTTAGAAGTCTCGTCAGATATTCTACAAATAATTTAACATTTTTTTTTATGATTTTCCTTATGAATCCCCCACTTTGGCCCATATTTCATGGGTAACCAACTCGACAATGGATGCTAAATGCGTCACAATGTGTGGTCTATAAAATAGGTGAGAAAAACATGTATGGATACCCAGAGGTATAATTAACTTCTCTTAGTATTTAACTTTAATAATATTTCATTATAACTAATGACAATTCCTTCAAAGAACAATGATTTAATAAAAAAAAGAGTGACTGACAAAAAAAGAAATATGTAAAACGTAAGACTAAGGGCCTGGTTATATGAGGCAGGCCAGCACGGTGTCTGACGTCACTCTAGTCAATTTCTACGGATTTATTCAAATGTATTTATATGGAAGGCGGGCAAGCCCGAGCAGCCAGGCTCCCCGGTCTGTGGGCACTTGGAATTATAAGGAAATTCGGCCGATAAAAAATTGTGACATTTGGTAATAACTGAAAATGCAATGATGTAAGCTTACCGATGCTGTAGAAATACCATTGAGTTGCTAGAAATATATGTACATCCACATTTCAATAATTTTAGTTTCACTTATATAGACAAAAATGTTGTGTTTTAACACTAGGAGGAGAGAAATATATTTCATTTCAATGTAATGTTACAATAGATTATAATTTTTACAATGCAAAGACATTCTAAGACTATGAGGACTATTTTGAGGCTGATATATTCCAATTCTCTTAAAAAATTCAAAAAAAATTCATATTTTTGTTTATTTGCTCAGACAATAACTCAGCCTTTAACGCCATGTCAGTCCAATAGTTTCACGACAGGTCTTATAGATTTGCTTCTGTGTAAACAAGAGTTATGGCAAAAAAGTGAACAGAACAACAAATCCACACTAAAGCCCATTAATGTCAACACTTTATAAACGGTGAGAAGTGAAATTTTTCTCCGCCATTTTCTGAAGGCCATCAGCGATTGGCTCTTGTGAGCTACATACACTCATCGCAGAGTACTTGTGAACTTTGAATACATAGTAAAAGTCCCAGTCCATGATTTGGACTAATTTATCGCTAACTTTAGATCTCCTTTGAGTGAAAATAATGAACAATTTTCCACTATTTTCCTGAAGGCCATCAGCGATTTGTTATTGTCAAGGTCATGAACTTTCAAAGCAATTGACATCCAGTCACTTGTTGTGTTATACCCTGTACAGCTTCTATTGTTAGACTATAGTTTCCATGTCTCTTACCACTTTATCTGATTTCCTGTTTTATGCATGGTCGGAAGTATCATCATAGTATCCTACTAGATGGTTTGTTTACATTTTTTCAGGCTCCAGCAGGTGTGGCTACCCCTCAGATTTATGGCCAGCTACTTGCTGTATATTTACTTCAAAATGATACGTAAGTACCAAGTGGTTTTGATTATTTCTTGGAAGGCCTATGTACTGGTAAGTACTACACTGTTTTTTGAATTGAATTTTGGCAATCAAAATGATGTTTACACTTATTACTTTTCAAGTGGATAACATTTTCATCAACCCAAAGACAATGAAAGACGCTTTGTAATATTTTGTAATTGATATTTCAATTTATATGGAAATGATTGCCAAAATTCAATTCTGTAAACATTGTAGTCAGAGAGTAGTTCCAAAACTCAAGGGTAATATCTGCAGGTAACAAAAACTAACCTGTATTCTTGGTAATCAAGCATTGCTCTTATAATGCAAAGAATACACTGCAAAAATTTTAATTTTGATGATTGACAGTTCAAAGTAAAAAGAAAATATGTACTGTTTTTTTTATGTAAACTGTTAACATGTTATATTCGTCAGATGTAATGCTAAGTTCTTATGGAAAAGAATTCCTACGAATTTAAAAACGGTGAGTAACTAGGTTTAAAAATATTTTTTGACCAAATGTGAATATGATTTTGAAGAAAACTTCAGCAATTTGATGCCCATGTTAATCAATAAAATTTAAAGCTGAATATCTGGATTTTTATTTACAAAAAGCATTTAAAGACTTTAAAAGGTTACGTAACCTTTACGTAAAGTTTGGTAGCTGGATTTTTTTAGTTACAGCTTTCACATACGTTTGGTTTATAGTTTTCACAAATTTGAGCAAAAAAAATTTTCGACCTACAAAAAAAGAGGGATGTCCCTTTTAAGAGATCTGTAACGCTAGTCAAAATTGAAATTTGACAATTGATTCCTGTATGATTAAAATACACCAAATCTACGCTTAACTAATGAGTAGTAATAAACTATATTTAGATGACTAGATCCTTTATTCATTTATTTATTTGTTGTTTTTCAGGGTGAATTAAGTTTAGTGTGGGCTGTGGGTCAGAAAGTCTGGCAGAGAGACCATCCTAGTGTTTACGATACCTTAAAACAAGATTGGTCTGAAGATATTAAACCAATTATGACAGCTTTGAAAGGTATTAACTTTTTCAAACAATTTTTTTTTAATTACTTTTCCAAAAAAAATCATTTCCAACCAAATAAGAGCTTTTAAATGGATACTCCCTTCTAGAATAAACATAAAATTTCAATTCTCAAACGTAACGTTTTTTTGTAGAGACAATTCATGAACGAGCATTTAAGTTGGTATCATTAGCCTATTCATCCATACATAGTGAAGATTTGGCAGCGTTTATAGGACTCACTGTTCCAGAGGCTATTCAAGGTTTACTTCTTTTGTTCATTAATTGAATTGAAAAGAGGTTTTCTCTAAATGTTATGTAAAGGGGACACTGATGGGAGCGATTTGCGCCATTCCACTTTTCAATCAGACGTCTGTGCCTCTTTCCACGATTCCACTTATACTGTCCGTTTTATGAAATCACTAATACAAAGGTCCTTTTATATATCAAAAGCAGCTTTTGCGATAGTGATGTTATATAAAATTATAACACTTACTTTTAAGAGAGGCACAGAAGTCTGACTGATAAATGGAAAGGTGCAAATTGATGAGATCATTGTCCACAATACAGATAAAAAGTTTAGAAAACCTTTTTACAATCCCTTCAATATCTATTTTCTGTAGCTTAGCAAGGCAAAACACATTTCATTAGCCAGTTTCAATGCCCAATTGTAAAACTCAAATGCTTAATGAGGTGCAAAATAGTATGAACATGAAACACTATTTGCGCAGTAAGGTGTAGAACAGTAGAAAATAAAACTCTACTTGTCCAACAAGATGTAGAACAGTAGAAAATAAAACTCTATTTGTCCAATAAGGTGTAGAACAGTAGAAAATAAAACTCTATTTGTCCAATAAGGTGTAGAACAGTAGAAAATAAAACTCTATATGTCCAATAAGGTGTAGAACAGTAGAAAATAAAACTCTACTTGTCCAATAAGATGTAGAACAGTAGAAAATAAAACTCTATTTGTCCAATAAGGTGTAGAACAGTAGAAAATAAAACTCTACTTGTCCAATAAGATGTAGAACAGTAGAAAATAAAACCTATTTGTCCAATAAGGTGTAGAACAGCAGAAAATAAAACTCTATTTGTCCAATAAGGTGTAGGGCAGTAGAAAATACAACTCTATTTGTCCAATAAGGTGTAGAACAGTAGAAAATACAACTCTATTTGTCCAATAAGGTGTAGAACTGTAGAAAATAAAACTCTATTTGTGTAATAAGGTGTAGAACAGTAGAAAATAAAACTCTATTTGCCCAATAAGGTGTAGAACAGTAGAAAATAAAACTCTATTTGTGTAATAAGGTGTAAAACAGTAGAAAATAAAACTATTTGTCCAATAAGGTGTAGAACAGTAGAAAATAAAACTCTATTTGTGTAATAAGGTGTAGAACAGTAGAAAATAAAACTCTATTTGCCCAATAAGGTGTAGAGCAGTAGAAAATAAAACTATTTGTCCAATAAGGTGTAGAACAGTAGAAAATAAAACTATTTGCCCAATAAGGTGTAGAACAGTAGAAAATAAAACTCTATTTGTCCAATAAGGTGTAGAGCAGTAGAAATTAAAACTATTTGTCCAATAAGGTGTAGAACAGTAGAAAATAAAACTATTTGCCCAATAAGGTGTAGAACAGTAGAAAATAAAACTCTATTTGTCCAATAAGGTGTAGAGCAGTAGAAAATAAAACTCTATTTGTCCAATAAGGTGTAGAACAGTAGAAAATAAAACTCTATTTGCCCAATAAGGTGTAAAACAGTAGAAAATAAAACTATATTTGTCCAATAAGGTGTAGGGCAGTAGAAAATAAAACTATTTGTCCAATAAGGTGTAGAGCAGTACAAAATAAAACTCTATTTGTCCAATAAGGTGTAGAACAGTAGAAAATAAAACTATTTGTCCAGTAAGGTGTAGAACAGCAGAAAATAAAACTCTATTTGCCCAATAAGGTGTAGAACAGTAGAAAATAAAACTATTTGTCCAATAAGGTGTAGAGCAGTAGAAAATAAAACTCTATTTGTCCAATAAGGTGTAGAGCAGTAGAAAATAAAACTATTTGTCCAATAAGGTGTAGAACAGTAGAAAATAAAACTCTATTTGTCCAATAAGGTGTAGGGCAGTAGAAAATAAAACTATTTGTCCAATAAGGTGTAGAGCAGTACAAAATAAAACTCTATTTGTCCAATAAGGTGTAGAACAGTAGAAAATAAAACTATTTGTCCAATAAGGTGTAGAACAGCAGAAAATAAAACTCTATTTGTCCAATAAGGTGTAGAGCAGTAGAAAATAAAACTCTATTTGTCCAATAAGGTGTAGAGCAGTAGAAAATAAAACTATTTGTCCAATAAGGTGTAGAACAGTAGAAAATAAAACTCGATTTGTGTAATAAGGTGTAAAACAGCAGAAAATAAAACTCTATTTGTCCAATAAGGTGTAGAACAGTAGAAAATAAAACCCTATTTGTCCAATAAGGTGTAGAACAGTAGAAAATAAAACTATTTGTCCAGTAAGGTGTAGAACAGTAGAAAATAAAACTCTATTTGCCCAATAAGGTGTAGAGCAGTAGAAAATAAAACTATTTGTCCAATAAGGTGTAGAACAGTAGAAAATAAAACTCTATTTGCCCAATAAGGTGTAGAGCTGTAGAAAATAAAACTCTATTTGTCCAACAAGGTGTAGAACAGTAGAAAATAAAACTATTTGCCCAATAAGGTGTAGAACTCTAGAAAATAAAACTCTATTTGTCCAATAAGGTGTAGAGCAGTAGAAAATAAAACTCTATTTGTCCAATAAGGTGTAGAACAGTAGAATGTGCAATAGAGTATAAAATATGAAATTTCATTTGTGTTTAACTGACTTAAAGGGATTGTTAAGATGTTTTCTGTACAATTTCTTTGTTATAAATGGATTTTTTTTTTCAGCTGTCAAGAATCGAGGATGGACAGTGGATGCTCAATCTAAGATAATCACACCTAAAAAGCCAGGTATGGTCCAGAGAGAATCTGTGTGTGTTAAAAATAGAATGCAATGGGCAAAAATCTATAAAATTGTGTTCAATGGGAGAAAAGATTATGTCATATTTTGAAGTTAACCCATACATTACTTTAATTAGGTTTAATTTGATAATTTCAGAAAAATTGATTGATCCACCCCTGTCCAGTGATCACCAACTGTCCGTTTTAACAGACTATGTATCATTCTTAGAAAATTAACTCAAAGGTAATGTGTATGGGATACCGATGTGTTTTCATTCAAAGACAGAGATTATGATTAGAGCAGGCATTTAAAAGTAATTAACATTTCCAAGTATGTTAATATCCATTTTTCCAGTGGACCCAGCTCTAAATTGGTATAGATAATCTAGAAAAGATCATTGCATAGTAAATTGTGACCATTTGTTATCTTTGTAATATCATTCATGAGATTTTGACTAGGACCAGCTGAAGACAAGAGCCTGCTAATCTTATCCATGTAAAATATTGTTGTTTTAACTTTCAGAAATGTGTAGATTGAGTTAAGACTGTGAACTTTGAACTATAAAACTGTGAGCTGTGAAGGATTAATATTGTGAAGTGTGGATATGTTTAGAACAGATGTATTGACCTCTAGTTCTATATCAAGACTATTGTTGTCATTGGTTAATGTGCGGGCACACAAGCGATCTTGGTCGAAGATTTTTGTCGCCTACTCAAATCTTGAGTAAAATCTTGTGTGTGTGCCCGTGCTTCCACGACAAGATTATCATGTCACCGACAGGATTTATAATATCAAACTAGTTTTATAATCGTCTCCGGACGTGATTATCGAGAAGGTAGATAACGTCCGATTGGAAATTTTTGTCTCCTCGTGTGCCCATGCTAAAAAAAAGACTCTAATCGACATGTATGCCCGCACCTATACCAGCAGCTGAATTTGTGGATAGTTTTAAGTAAAAAATTCTGAGATCATCTGATTTAAAGGGATTGTAAAGAATATTTCTAAACTTTTTATGTGTACACTATATAGCTTGATTTGCACCATTCCAAAATCATCGTTTCTTGAAAATTTAAACTAAACCTAAGCCTAAGTGACACTGATGAAAAATCTAAAGAACAATTAATAGTTTTAAATATAGAGAAGTAAAGATATTTATGCCAGGGAAAAATCAAAACATTAATTAGAGTGGTCTATTTTTGGAGGTAGAATAAATAATATTTGTAACTCTTCAAACCAGATATATTGTTATATACCATCTAAAAATATTGAATAGTCCCAACATGTACATAATTGAATATAATTTTCACATCAAAATTCTTAAAAAAAAATCATTTCTGCTCCTAAAGATTGAGAATTTTCTTTTACAATTCTTTACTTCTTAATGCTGTCATAAGCTAAATACTGACAAAATTATTAAATTTAAAAAGTTGTGATTATTATTATATTGTATCGTTGGATGAGTATCGTTGAGTGTATCAAATCACTACTTCAAGAATGGTTTCAGCCCTGCTATTATAGAAATATAATCCACAGATAATAGTATAACTGTTTGATGTACTATACTATGTTTCTTAACAAATAATAAAGCTAGGCGTCTGTACAGATTCATTTTTATATAAAAAGTTCTTAATAAAACAAAAACCCAACTATTAAATATAACCATCATTAAATTATACACTTATATAAAAGGATACAGTCATCTAAATATTTGCTTTACCAGCTGATAGAGCTCAACTTCAGCTAGCTGAATGCAGAATGCAGGAGATTCACTCAGTTATTTATACAACTGTATCCTTTTTAAAAAGAATTATCTGCAATCATGGGATCTCATATTTTTGGTTTATTGTGAGTTTTGTGATGTCCTGGACCTTAAGATAAGGTTTGGTCAAATACGATATAAAAAAAATGGACCATTTGATTGCGGACAGTTCAACAGTTTCAAAAACTGTTCACATACATATACATATATAATATTAATACATACATTATTCTTTTATAAGTTATAACTTATATATATTTATATACATACATAAAACTTATATAGTATTATATAGGACAAAGATGTCTAATTATGTTCATTTAACAAGCTGATACCAATAGAATGTTTTGATATTTTTGGCATGAAACAAATTTGGAATTGACAAACCTAGAAGTTCCAAATGGTTGATGCATAAATTTCCATTCCAGACATGAAAATAATTCTATAATTGAAACCTAAATTGTCCAAAGAGTTCAGTATAGCTCATATGTTGAGCTCATATGACAAAACCCAAAATGGAATCCATTGCACAGTTGAAGTTTGAAATAGAAATAGCTCAAAAAGAAATCGACTTAATCTTCAAGCTCAAAATACAACATGTTTCATTTCCATAGAAAGAGTTGAAACACAACTCATTTCAAAGTTGAAGCTCAATATGACATGCATTTAATGCTCGAATTGGACACCTTTCCTGAAGACCAATATAAAATCCATGTCAAATTTAAAGCTTAAAATAATTACCAATGTAGAGTTGACAGGTTTTAAAACTTAAAATAAGCACCATTGAAGAGTTGAGTATGTGCTAAGATGCAGATATTAAATGAAAGTCCAGTAGCTGACTAGATGAGCAGACGGCCAAGGTGAGATAACTCCCAGGCTCTATATTAACAGTTGTCAAACACATTCCACTAGCTGGGTTAAACAACTGAGATCTTCCATCCTGAAATTATAATTCTTTCATTCATTAATCCATTATCTCCTTAATTATATTCACTCATTCTTAAATAACGGAAAACAATTTGTGGTATACTACTCCCTACGTTTCAACAATCTACATTGTCATCATCATCAGGTGAAATGAGGAAGCATACCTAAATAATAGACAATAGCAACAATTAATTAGGGATTAATAGGAGTGCCAGTAAGAAATAGAGGGGCGAAAATAAATCAAATTCTTAAATTTATTTACTCATTCATTCCTTCCTTTACTTATTCATTCTGTCATTAACTCATTCATAATTCCTTAACTCATTCATTCATTCATTTGAATTCGAAATGTATCAATTTGAATTTGACTATATCCCTTTGAGTACTAGTGATATAAGCTGCAATACAAAAGCAGATATACATTATATGAGTTTGGCAATACATTGGTAGCTGAAAATGAATAAATGAGGAAGCAATGAAAAGTAGTACCAAACATACCTTTGTGTTCCAAATCCATTCCTGAGATCCAAACCCACCACATTTTGTTAACCTGGCAAATTCTGTCTTCCCTTCTCCAGTTACATCCAGACACAAAACATTGGCCAGACGCATTTCCTTATTCCCTGTTTCATACCATACCTTTCATAATAGATTTACCATTTAAAGGCTGTTGTGTGCCATTTTAGGGTTTGATTTGGGTCTTACATGCAAAATATCTTCAGAACTTCATAAAAATCGCAATATTCCTTCCAATATACTCTAAACTTGATAACACAGATAATTCGGAAAAGGGAAAAGTGTCTTGCTGCTCAAAGGGAAAAAGACATTGAGACTGTGTGCTACAGGCTGTACCCCAAGATAGTGGACCACAGCCATATACGCCCACCACGGCATGCAAATGGTAAAAACTAAACATCCATTTTTAGTTTCATCAAAATCGGTTGAAAACTAAGAGAGTAATAGCATATTCAAGATTTTGGGGCAAGGGCAATAACTCTGCTTCTAACGGACGAAAATAGCTCAAATTGGAACTTGATTTTCATTTTATTATTATGTATACACATAAGAAATTTCATTTGATTCTATCAAAAAATCTAGTTTTTAGAGCGTTTACAAGCAAATGTTGATGGACGGATGGAGGAACTGGGGTTTTGACAATATACGTCCACATAGAGAGATGTGGGCGTATAAAAAGGGGTGGGTGATTTAATGTCCTGGCAATACTTGCATACATAAGACCAATAGCCCATAAGGTGCATTTCCTTATTCCCTGTTTCATACCATACCTTTCATAATAGATTTACCATTTAAAGGCTGTTGTGTGCAAAAAATTTAGGACGTAAAAATCCAATCATTGAAATTGTATCACAAATATGGGTTTTGACATGGTCTTATAAACCAGTATTAAACTAAGCACACTACACTTCCTTTTGGGGCCATGGAAATGAGATTGGTGGAATTTAAATCTGACCAATCAGTAGAACAGAAATGAGGTCATGTAAACAAAACACAACACTTGTAACCACAACTCTGAAGAAGTATGACAAATGGGGGTGTGGTTTGGACACGATGAGATCTTACCTGATTTTTATTTTCGTTGCTTAAATTACAAACTGTTAAACGTAATAAAGATTTTTTTACATGGACATCTCCTACACTGTCCACACACAGTCCAGAACCTGTATGCTTTAACTGAAAAACACAAACACATCATAATGGCTTACTTGTTAAGGTCTAGAATTAAAGGGATTGTAAAGAGGTTTTCTAGCTTTCATAGTCATTCATGGTCTCTATTTGCCTCATTCCCATTTTTCGTCAGATGTTTATGGTTCCTCTAATTATGGAAATGCTTTACCATATATGATGTCACAAAAGCTGTTCTAAAATATAATGTAATATAAAACGGCATCCAACTTTTCAAGTCTGTTTTGAATTCAATGAATTCTCCAGGCCTTTCCATTCCAAATATAGGATTGAGCCTGAAAATGCAGGAATCCATCTGTAAAATTTAAGAAAGAAGAAAAAAAAAAACACTAACCAAACCTTTTTGTTTAACAACTATATCTTTATGTACAATAGGCCTCATAAATTTGGCTTCTCTCCCCTGACCATTAACAGACGGTATACTCTGTAATATTTATGTCAGACAATTTAAATTCTTTTCTTGGGATATTTTATCCACTAAATTAAAAATATTTTCAATTCTTTTCTTGTGGATCATATAAAACAAATGATGACAAAAACTGAAAAATCTGTGCGAAAATTTTCTTACTTGTTCTGGGTAGACATTATCCAAATACCATTTAAAACTTTTACACCCCAGTTGCTTTCGTAACTCCAACCTTTTAGAAATATCACCATACTCCATTTTAGCTGCCTCTGGTCGAATGTTGAAAAAATGTTTCTGAATTAAAATTTAAATAATTTTTAATATTCCATAATGAAATCAAATGAATCGATATTGAAAAGCATTTCTATAAAAGAGTTTTCGCAAAATAGGAGTAGTTGTATCAGCATGATTTAGATATAATGTTTTTGATTTTTGTTATCACAATAACCTTAAGTGATGTCATATACAGTTAAGCATTTTTTTTAAAAACTTCTTAAGTGTATAGAGGACATTGAGAGCATAGCTTTACACCATTCCAATCTAAAAAAACCCAGTTCCCTAAAAAATGTATTTATCACCTTGTATTCATCCATCCAGGTATGAGCAACTCGTAAGGAATTTTTCAAAAAACTATCCCCATGTGGAGAACCATAGGGTCGTCTCTTACGGAAAATATGACCCACACGAGAACAGGGCAAGATCTCTAAATTACCGCCACATTGCCAGATCTAAAGAACACAAGTAAATGTCATATTAGATTGTTGCTGTGGATAATAACTTAAGGTCTTTTTTCCAGTGGTTCTCTTTACTTTTCGAGAGCACCAAAAATAATGTGCTTGCAAATTATGTTTTTTTGTAGTAAATTTGATTTAATTTCAGCCTTCGATATCAATTTTAAAAATTCTAATACAAATTTGCCTGAAATTCAACAAAAACAAAGACTTAAATCACTGAAAGGACAGATGCAAAAAACTGTTTATAAAAAAATGAAAAGAAAAAGTTACCCTAAAAGAAATTTCCAAATTTTCTCCACCCCAGATGTCCATGCCAGGATCATATTCTCCGAGATGGTGGAAATAAACTCGATTTATAGCAAACAATCCACCTGCCATGGTGGGAGATCTAAAATTACAACAAGTGTAGGTCTATTAATGTTCATCTTCATAATGTCCAGCTGTCTAAATATTTTAACAGTATAGAATGTACTTTTCTAGTGGCAAGGAATGCAGTCATTTGATTGGCTTTGACAAAGGTAAGAAACTGGTGATTCTTTTCTACCTGCTGGTTCTTGGCCAAACATTTTGACATAGATCTTTCTTGGAGTTCCTATACCCATTTAAGGCTGGGTCAACTGGAATTATGAGCAAATATAACTTAATTAAGGTCTTCAGAAGATCACACCTGATCGAGATTAGAACCCTACAACCACAATTCATTCGACATAACCAAGCAAGTGACATCAAGTAAAGTATCCAACACTCTAACCAACTGTGCTACAGAACCTGTCAAACTCTACTTACACTATAGGATCAGTATGTGAGATAGGCCCTGTGCTAGCTGGTAGAGGATCCCATCTAAAATGCATTCCCCAATTAAAACCACCTTTCACGAGGGGTGATTTTTCGTAAATAAATGTGTCAGCATTGATCATGTCGATAATAGGTATCACAACATTTTTACTGTTTTCTTGAACTCTGGCTAATAATGGTTCCAGCCAACCATCATTAACTTCACAATGGCTGTCTAAAAACACCAATACCTGAAAACAAATTAATGGAGTTTTACATCCTTCATTTTCTGCTGATTTGTCACATGTTTTCTGCTTTCATTTTGGCTAACGAAAATACATAGAATTTGATGGAGCAAATGGTAACACAATGCAGTGTACAGTGAGAAAAGTTAGCAAGAATTTGGTCCCTGACGAATAGCATGTTTATTTTGTTACAAACCCCAACTCAATGTAAAACCCACAACCACCATTTGCTCAATGAAACCAAACCAATGACAACAAGATTCCACAAGCTAGAGTCTGTTTTCTAAACACGAAAAGTTATACTCACCTCTCCTGTAGCTTTTCTGGCACCGAATATTCGAGCCCGTATTAACCCTAACCTTTCTGCACTTGTGACCAGTTTAACCGCAGGTAAATGATTTGATAAATAAGTTCTTAATTTGGGCAGCAAACCCTCTAAAATGAACATTCTTGATTATTCAGTAAGTTCAACAGTAAGTTATTCATGAATTACAGACAGACTAGATGCCAGATTTTGAATTTTTAAAAAGTGATACAGTTAGCTAAAAATAGAGCTCAATCAGTTGTTAAAGAAAAATATTCAGACAAATATGTCTTAAAATTGGTAAAGATTGCTGAAAATTGAGTTTTATCATGGTAAGAACCAGATCTCTTAAATCATGTGTCAGTGCAATGCAGTGTAAAATGAGGGAAATTCAATGTGACATCAATCTGCTCTTTTTTAGTTTCAACTGAAAACATTATCACTGTCACAAGCAAGTTTTCATTAGTTACAGACAAACTAGATGCCAGATTTTGAGTTAAATCAGTGACACAGATGGCTAAAATCTTTATCAGTTGGTAGAGAAAAATATTAGGACCACTATATCTTTTTAATCTCATTTCATTGTAGTGCGATGAACATAAGACAAGTCTACACCTACCTATTTCACTATTATCATTGACTAAAATAACTTCATGTATCAGATCATTTGGTGACCGATGGTAAATGCTGTGTACTGTTCTCAGTAAAGATGAATATGCCTCATTATAAAAACAAATAACAATACTGGCTTTAGGTAGGTTGGTGGGGTATACCTTATCTTTACATCTAAAAATAGAAATATAGTATTACCAAATAAAGTTATATGGACTTTCCAAAATGAAATGAAATGAATAGTTATACATTCTACTTCTTTGGACCTTATTGACTAATGAAGATGTTCACTGCCATGCAGTGTACATTGAGGGATAAAAGCTTACTCTTTTTCAATGTCCAACTGTCAAGGGATCTTTAACGTTTTCAATGTCAGTCCATGACAGCGAGAAACCGCGTTGAAATCTGATGGTATTATATCAACTTATGCCAGGATTGAACACTGGACCTTAAGGTTAGCATGTAAGCATCTAACTAACTAGCAAACATGGCTCCCTTAGGACTTTCTGGCTAGACAAACCCAAATATCAATTAAACACTATTAGCTGCGTGAACTCTCCTAATGTGATGTGGCGTTGATAAACCTAAATATCATACATATACACTAATAGATGTGTGGACTCTCCTCAGAATTCTCTGATAAGAAACCCAATTGTGAAGTGTCATCAGGTGTTCCAGATGCTAATCACACCCTACTCAATACTTGACTAAAGGAGAGGTCCAGTTAGCTCATAGTTGTAATGGAGCTCCAATTCCATCAATTCTTATGACTAGGGAACTGAATCACATGTAATAAATACATATATTATTGTGCCAATGACAGGTACTGTGCAATGAGGTAAATTCTAATAGAATTCAATGTTCCAGAAGATGCACAAGGCTGAAACCAAGTTGATACGAGAAAGGGGAGATAACTCACTGTGGATCTCTTGTATCAGGAAGTGGTCTAGTGAAGGAAAGTTTTTCACTAATTAGTAAATTGAATGCATGTTGGTGATATCCTTAAAAATAAGAACAGAACAAAACAAATAAGTAGCAAAAAATGGTTTCATGAATCTCTTTAATCAGATATGTCTAAGACCAATCCATTATTCTCAAAAATTTCATCAGAACTTGCAGCACAGAAACAAGGCCAATTTTCTTGATGCCTACCAATATGGGGGTATATCTCACATCATTTTTGTTTCCAGTCTGTGACTTGAATAACCTTTGTCCAATTCATGAAATTTCAACAAACTGACCATTTTTAAAGGGACAGGTGCACTATTTTGGGGGGTTGATTTTAATCTTGAATATATGTAAAATAGTCTTCAGAAATACTAGAAATGTACAAAAATAGCATAATTTCTTTAAAATACTTCAAACTAGGAAGTTTACTCCCTTTTCCTATACATGTCTTTTCAGAATAACTTAAATTGACGAGTCCTCATTTTAACATTCCATCGCGGATAATTCTGGACACACATAGATTTGAAGGTTCAAATTCGACGAGCTTTGAACACTATAACTGATTGACTTAGCTAAAAACATTCACATTTCTGAGACTAAAGCATAATTTTGTGAAAAAAATAGCCTACCTGTCTCTTTAATTGTTCATGGTCAGTCTGACATTCAATTTTAAACCAGTAAGTACAAGGGAGGAATTGCCCCCTGAAAAATATTCTGATACATATCATCACAATATTGACAGCCTACCTTCATCATGTAGTTGTTGATCATTTTCACTTTTAATCTCAGCTAAACTCAATAAATAATTTTCATCATACTTTTCATTTTCAGCAGACATATTACTTCTGCTCTCCTCAACTTGTTCAGCCATCTTGTAACGCGATCTCATTTTCAGATGTCCCCTAGCATAAGATTTACTGCTGTCATCAAACAAAACATAACCACACAGAAACATGCTAGAAACTGTTGAAATTATCAAAATGACAAAGCATTTTAAACTTTTTAATCTTGGCATTTTGATAAATTCTGTTCTCAGCTACAAACAGTCATCCTGCCGGAAAACTTGTGTACCTGAAATTTTTAAAATATTGACATAATTCAACTATTTATACTTAAGAAGAGAAGTTATCAATATAGGTATATGTTAGGGCTGAGAGATATACCAGTATAACAATTTATTTAAAAAAAACAATATATGGTCATATTGTAAAATATGGTTGTTATCATGTTATATTGTCAAATATTTGATTATTTTAACAATTTGAAACAGGTTTATTTTCATGATATTAAAGACTGGGATGTTTTTTTTAGGGATATTTATTGTTTTTTCTAGCATTTTAAAATATCATGATATACATTTATACCCATATTAATATCATTATTGATATTAAAGATAAATACTAAGAAATGATAATTATACCACTGGGTATCAATACAGTGTGTTTTTCTTGCCTTATTCGTTAATCAAACATTTTATAGGTGATGCATTTAGCAGCCGTTGTCGAGTTGGTTCCTCATGAAATATGGGTCAAAGTGAGGGATTCATAAAGAAAATCGAAACAAACCAATTTTAATTCTTTTGTAGAATATCTGAAGGAAGAAACATGTTTATGTTCTAAGACATAAAAATATAAAAATTCCGTTTTTTAATTATGAAAAAATTTGGTGTTGATAATCCTCATATGCACAAATAAAGGTTACACAACTGTACCATTTAGAAAGTGATAGATAATAGATAATCTTATTCAAATGAAATAAGAAGTTGGCTACCAGTAAACAGTAGAATTCAATTTGCAAAGACAATGGATTTACATAGATAAGCCATCTTCAAATAATGTTAATAAAATTTTGTGTATGTCCATTAACTTATCCTTGGATAAATTTATATTTTCTAACCCATAAAGTCATAATTATCATCCTGGCTACTGGCTTCTTTCCCCACCCCCATCACTTCTTATTTCTGATACTTGGTTTTAGGTCTACATTTAGGATATGGAATTCTATGACAATAAAAAATATCGTATCAGGGGAAGGCCTAACCGTGAGATGTTCTAAAGCGAGTCTTTCAATATTTTTACAACATTCCACAGCTTTTACCAGATATTTTTCACTCTAGACTTTTATATTTAATTCAGTCGCTCGTCCTTTCTTTGTTTATTGATAGGGGCGGCCTGTGATAATCTGTACCTACACTTCGGACATGATTACATACATTAGTTACGTACTGTCTGAATTTTTCTTAATTGGATACGTACTTGTTTTTAACATCCAATCAAAATCAGACTTGAATGACCCGGAAGTGGATGAAAGATGAGGCTCATCATGGCGGATAGTGATTATTTTCATATTGGGAGCAAAGTTTCTTTGACAACTTGCCATAATCAGGAGCTGAGTGGAGAAGTCATTGCTTTTGATATTAGCTCCAGGGTTTTGGCTTTGAGTATCCTTTGGTTAAATACCAAATTGTCAGTTTGATAATTATTTGCAAAAGACCTCAAATTGCCGGTAGGACAAGGAAACAACATCCCACCATAGCACAGCCACAAGTGGCTAAGTAATGGATCATATAAAATGATTTCTTATTTGTTAGTATAAAGCCAAGCCCTTCTTAGTTACCCTTAGTTTCAATTAAACTTAAGATTGCATTGTTGCTACCGTTATTGGCCTCATGATCATGTCATGGATTTTACTTTTAGTCAATCATGAAACTGCTTTTATTTGAATAATTTAAAGTAGGCGTCTTCATTATTTCACTGGGTTTTTGTGGCTTGGAGCATGAAATACTTATAACTGTGTTCATATAGAGGAATATGTCCCGCTTTCTCAAATTTCAAGATGGAAATGTTTCCTTGGTCACCATGTAAGATTAAAGGTATATATACCTGGTACAAAGGGTGTTTAGAAACTCAGAGGTTATTTTTACAGGTAACGTCTGTAAGCTATTTACGGCACTTCCTTTCACCCCTGTGCAGTTCGAAACATTTTATTCTTAAAGGAACACTAACTACTTATTAGATGAAACTAGACATTAATCTAGGCTTAGATGTCAGTGCTTAGAAAAATTACTAACCGGACGTGCCAGAAATAATTTCTTCCGGTGCAAAATATGGCAGTTTTAGGGATCTTTCAGCTGCTATAAGTGTTGGAGTTCAACTGTGTGGGTTTGTATGTCAGAAGTTCCTGGTCAATACAAATCTTTATTTGATGTAGCCCACAAGGTTTTGGTTTATCCTCCGATCTACATGAATAACAGAGAAAACCAGGTTGAAAAGATATTATCTCTTCCCATACCGGGCACATCCTGTGGGGGGAGGGGGTGGAGGGCTAGTTGTATTTTGGATGGATATTTATTTTAATTTTTCAAATTGATGATGATATTCATGCCTTTATAAGGAGCCTTAATAATCAAAAAATAAATTGTGAATCCTAGACCTAGAGTTCTAAACCTTTATGCAATGCAGGGAAATTGTAAGCAAATAAAGTAGAGTGATGTAAAAATAGTGCAAATATCATTGTCTACGGCATTGAGGTAAAAATACATACTTTTAAATATCAACAGATCATCAATTTTTGATTATCCTTAACCAAACCCCTAGAAATACCAGCAGCTTGTGGAAAACATAATTTATATGATGTGAGACTAATAAATCTTCAGTTAGTGAGTAATATACAAGTCACTCAGGAGGCACCTGATACAGAACCTCCACAGTTAACAACTCTTAATATGCCAAGGGTAGGTAACTGCTGTTCAACTTCTGTTTTCTATATATAGGATTTGCATGATTAATGAGTTCCTACTGGTTTATGAAAGGAACAGATTACTAGTTGTACCTTAGTCTCAAAAAACATGAATTTTTTTATCAAAGCCAATCAGTTATAGTGTTCACAGCTCACTGTCTAAATTTGAGCCTTCAATTCCATGTGTGTCCAGAATTATCGGCATTTGGAAGTTACAAAGTTACGTCTTTTCTGGAGACATAACCATATATAGAAAAGACATCTATAGTAAAAGAAGTTCCTAGTTGGAGATATATTTGAAGGAATTATGCTATTTTCCAGTACTTCTGAAGGCTATTTACATATATTCAAGACTCAAATCAACCCCGAGAAATTAGTCCCTTTATTCATTCCAATCATGCATCTGAGACGATTATTTTATTTCTTGCAGATCAACAGTCGATTGAGACAGAATTGTGAATCAAAAAGAAAACAACTGGATCATGTTGGAGATAATGTCAGCCCTGAGGGACAAAACTTATTTTACGCCATTGTCAAAACGTGAGTGGGTTTAAGCTTATTTTTATACATTGCCGTAGTGTCTTGCCCTTTTACCTTTCTTGTAGACATGTTATGGCTGCAGGTTGTATCTGATAATGATGAAACTAGGTAAGTATATATTGGGGAGATCTCAGTCAAGTTCAAATTTGGCTATAATGGATAAACAGAGTTTGAGTTATTGCCCTTGATATGTCAAATTTGGTTTTTAGGCTAAATAGAAACTACAATTTTTACGCAATCAAAATGAACTGTATTGATAAAGATTTTTTTTATTTTAACAAAGTGTTATTTATTGGCATTTAAAAAAGATATTTCTAGTGAACACTCCAGCTTATATTTACACCATTCTGGTTTCCCCTCATTGTAGAAAGTTATGTCTCTATGATATTTTGAAATTTGCAGTATAAATGACGTACGTTGGGACCATCAAACTATAGTGGTAATGGACGAAGTCTCAATTGAACCTCCCTACAGATTAGAAGATTGTAAGGGCAAAGGTCAAATGTTGGATCATGTCAAGAAAATCGTAAGTTTTTGTTCTAAAATTTAGTACAAGATACTTTTGACCTTGATGATGAAAAATATCAATTAAGTGAGATTCAAGATTTGAGGTGCGAACTTGGATCCTCTGTTAAATAATTGTACAGGTGTTACTGTACATTAATGCTTGGCTATTAACTTGGTCAAGTCAAACAAATGGTCTTGGGTTCCAATTTTGGTCAGTCCGGAATCTGGTGACCATGAACATCTTCCTCATTATCCAGTAGATCTAGCTATAATTGGGTACAGATAATCATGGAAAGATTAGTGCCTAAAGGATTTGCCAAGGACCAGTTGGTACACAATTAACTCATCCGTACAAGTAGATGTCTTTCCTGATAAGTGGAGGTTCTACACCTACTGTGCTTACTTGTAATTGTTTTGTTAAACGCCCAGATCTGTCAGTTGACAAAAAATAATGAGATCTTCAACCCTTGATATGTGTTGCGCGTATTTTGCTGGGCAACAGACTGATTTCAACTGAAGTTGTTTTTTTGTAGGTAAAGAAACATCTAACAGATGGAGAAACTAGAAAATCGGCCTCACCTTCACCTGGTGTCTTATCATCCTCTCCCCCCTCATCCACGTGATCTGTACGTCTGCTCTAGTGGTTGTCATGGTGTGATTGAATGAGGACTATTTAGAATGCTCTTCTCATAAGTTTTAGTGAATCTTTCTGCCCAATATCTCAGAATTTTATCAGATTTAATGCATTTTCAATGTCAAATTGAAATGTTGGGACTGGAGATAAAGGAAATTGGGATCTGTCATGTATCAGTTTGCAGTAATGTAAAGTTTTTATATGTGCTACTATTTGGGACTTTTCATGAAATCCAAAAATGATTCATTTGAACATGTCCAACCATTCATCAATTTTGAACAGTCCTGTTTTATATCTGGGCAAAAAATGCTGAAGCTGAGAAATTGGGCATGGAATTTTCAAGATTGAAGGAGTCCAGGTCAAGTTACTCTTCATACATTGTAACAAATATATAAGTCACATTAAAAATTTAAATCTAACAATTCTAAGAGGGGGGAGATATTACCATCTTTCTTGTATCAGTTTGTAAATGCAGCGATTCGGTTGGGATTGTACACTAGCAAATACAGGCAATCAATCATAAGCCATTATGTATACAATCTTTCTGACCTGGGCTCTGCTTGGCGGTATTAACTAGTGTACAAACCAACCAAATCACAGCATTTACAAACATCTGTGATACAAGAAAAGTGTCTATTGCAGTGAGGGCTATTGTTCACCATTTTCAGGAGGTGGGGGGAATCAGATTAGTAAGTAGCAGTAAGCGAATTTACTGTTAATAGGAGCAAGACAGAGGCCAAATTTCTTTTTAATTGATTTTTGGTATTGATCAGTCATATGACTGGAACACTAACATCACTTCAGTTTTTGAAGAATAAGGCCCCTTTTATGTCCTAAATCTTATGATAAAAAATAATTTGTCATTCTGGGTGTTAAGGGACGGGAACAATTTTCTAATGGTTAAAGTATGGGGGGTCATGGATTTATTGTCACCAAATGAATTTATTATTTTTTACTTAAGTATTTATTGAAAATGAAAGTTTGTCAAGTCAGTCGTGTGAATGGTAATAAAAAGATTTTAAAAATAATTCTTCATTTTTCCCTTTAAAATTGAGTGACCTTATTTCTGTGGTGAAAGAAAGTAAATAAACATCCTACTTATCTGAACATCAATGGGCTAATAAAGAAATATATTCAAGTGGGATTAATTTAACATGTCAAGTTTCATTTAATCCATAAAGAATTGAATTTTGTGACTGGCAGCATATGGCAAATCTTTGTGTTAAGACAGTTATATATTTACAGACAGACAGGGGCGACAGCTATATAGGGTTTATCCGTGGGTAATTGCAAACACCTACACCAAGTTGAGTCAAAATCTATCAAGAAACCAGCTCTCTATCGTGTCCACAAACAATATAAGAACAAGAGCAATAACTCATAGTAAATATTTTTCGATTTTTCTGATTTTCAATAGTGTTCATTCTTGGGTGATTACGAACACTCACACCAAGTTTTGTTGCTATATATGCCCACATTAATGTGTGGGCTTATAAAAAGTTAACAACTCACTGAGCTAGTAAAATTAAGCATCTTGGCTCTATTTATTGAATTATATTTATTCACAATGAATGACTGGATGATTTTAGCACTTTTGACAGTTTTTAAATGCCCATAAAACTCATGACTTAATAAAAAAAAAATACAACACAGAAGAAATTCTGTTGAACTTTAAACACTTGTGGCTTATTAAAAAATTGCCATTTGGGTGACTTTCATTGGATAGCTTGATAGATTGATCACGAGTCACAACAGAACTGTAATATGAGATGTAAGATGAGACTTGCGTGACGTAATATAATCTTGGGTCTGACCCTCACTATTTGACGAGTTGAACTCAAAAACTAGTAAGTCCTTATTGCAAACCGAAATCAAATTTCAACCATCACTTGACATACACACTGAAGATAATTAAGTCAATACTCCATTAACTCTAACTCAACGGCAGAAGGTTCACGAGAAGTCACCCATAGATGAGTAGATTCTGTGAAAACACCTTGTACTAAAATATCTAACTTGTTTAACTCGCTGAGCCACTGCAGCTCTCTTGATCTGACATAACACTTAACCTCATAGTATGTAAATGAGTTTTGTTTGTACAAATATGATACATAACACAACATGAAAACAAAATGATGATACATGACTAATTAATATGATATACTTTGGTACAAAATGATAAAGATAAGAATATTTACACTGGTTCTTAAATGAAAATAATCCTTGAAGTTTTATTGAGATTTTTTAAGAGAAGAGGGTTATAATTATATCTTTTTCTTTCATTGCAACCGCATAGTTTATGTATTTCTAATACCCAGGGCTTGTTCTAACTCTACTCTTCTCTGCTGAACCTAAAATCAACAATATTATCAAAATTAACATTTCTATCAATTGCAAATCAAATGCCCACATGGTAAAGTAAATAATTTTATCATTTATACATTTGAAAAACACTATCATATATATAACAATTTAATGTTTAACAGTCCTTCATAAATATTAAAAGATTACTCAAAGAGGACAGAATACAAAATGATGGAATATGAATAATTAAGCTAAGTCCTTCATGAAAACAACTTAGTAATGTCACCTCTGTCTATCTGTCCACAAATGGCTTATGAACAAGATGGAGGTGTCAGTTTTTATCAGATTTTTTTATTAAACAAAAAATACCATAATAAATCTACAAGATCTTGGACAAATTCAAATTTGGATATGATTGGGACATATATTGAAGAGTTAAATCTCTTGATTTACCAAAATATGTTAAGATAGCTTGTCAGGCAAGATAACATACGTCCACTGGCAGCTGTCAGATATGATAAAACAGTCTTTAGTGACTAAAGTATGAATTTTCTCATATTAAAGAAATTTTAATAGTTTGAATTCAATGATATATATATTTACTGCCAGTTATTTATGCTGAGAAATTCCACAAAATTTTTAAAAAAAATTATCAATAACCCAAATACATCAAATAATTAATTAATATACATGATCACACCATGTTTCATTAAAATCAATTGAAAACTGTAGTCTCTAATGTGTTCACAAGCAAATTTTGATGCGTCAAGGGCAACAACTCAAAAACCGTTCATCGAAATATCGTCTAATTCCAACTTGACCAAGATCTCATCAATATAAATGCTCACACCAAATTTCATTAAAATCAGTTGAAAACTGTAGTCTCTATTGTGTTCACAAGAAATGTTGACAGACCAACGGTCAGGGGCGACGGCAATATACGTCCACATTTCCATGTGGGCGTATAAAAAGAGGGCCAATCTTGTTAGGCGACCACAAGTTATCACCTCACCTTGCCATAGAAATATCTGCAGACAGCCTCCTGGGACCAAGTTTGGTAGAAGAAATCTGATCTTCGTTCTTCCTCAGGATTACCAACTACATCAGTCATTGTCTGAAATACAGGAATGGAAATGGTTAATAAACACTGGTAACACCATGCAATGGTATAAGGGAAATTTGATTTCATTTGAACTTGATGCATACATTGAAAGATAGCTTGCCAGGCAAGGTAATACACGCCCACTGGCAGCTTTGATTTTGAACATAAATATTTAGCAGTACAGTAACAATCACCAGTATGAAATATTCAACCTTCAGTCATACATTTCTTTTGAACTCTTTAGGGCGATACTGAATAATATTGAGTATGAGTTATTCCCCTAGTTCTTGAAAATGTGTTAAATTTTTAACTCGTGAAAACTTTAGAAGGCAAATATTCAATCTTCAGCGCAATAATGAATAATAAAACCAAGTTTTGTCAAAATTCAGCAAGAATCATGCCTTCTAGAGTTTTTATGAGCTACAAATTGAACGAGTTTTTAAGATCAAGGGCAATAACTCATACTAAATATTTTTCGATTATTCTGATTTTCAATAAGGTTTATCCTTGGGTGATCACAAACATACAAGCCAAATTTCGTTAAAATCCTTCAAGAATTGTGCCTTCTTAAGTGTTTACGAGCTAAAAATTGAAAGCGTTTTCAAGAATAAGGGCAATTACTCAATATTTTTTAATTCTTCTGATTTTCAATAGAGTTCATCCTTGGGTGATAACAAACACTCATGACAAGATTCGTCAAAATCCAAAAAGTGCCTTCTAGAGTGTTTACGTACTGAAAATTGAACGCGTTTTCAAGAACAAGGGCAATAACTAAAACTAAATATTTTTCCATTTTCCTGATTTTCGATAGGGATCATCCCTGGGTGATTACAAACACTCACACCAAGTTTTATCAAAATCCATCAAGAATTGTGCCTGAAAATTTTCTGATTTTCGATAGGGTTTATCCTTGGCCGTTTACGAACACTCATGCCAAGTTTCATCAAAATCCGTCATGGATTGCACCTTCTAGAGTGTTTACGAGCGTTTCAAGTACAAGGGCAATAACTCATAGTAAATATTTTTCGATTTGTCTGATTTTCAATAGGGTTCATCCTTGGGTGATTACGAACACTCATTCCAAGTTTCATAAAAAATCCGTCATGAATTGCACCTTCTAGAGTTTTTACGAGCGTTTCAAGAACAAGGGCAATAACTCATAGGAAATATTTTTCGATTCGTCTGATTTTCAATAGGGTTCATCCTTGGGTGATTACAAACAATCATACCAAGACCGACCGACGGATATGGGTGACGGCAATATACGGAAATATAGAATTTAAACCCTTCATTTTCAAAATTATTCCATGCAGAGCATACCCACTCATTCCCCTTAAATACTTTTAGCAGTCATTGACTATAATTGAATGATACTCACCTTCAGGTCTCTAGTTTGGGAAATCAACCAGTTATTGATAAAATCCTGTGGATCTTTAGCAAATCCAAGGAAAAATTCCCGGTTAGTTTTCAATCCATTGATGGTCTCTACAGTCTCATGTATCTACAAGCAGAAATAAGATATTTTGTACAAGGAAAACAACTTCAGTTCATAAAGAGTCCTTTCTACCAGCTGGCCATTGGCCAAACCTCTTGGCTTTCATCTTTCCTGGTTTATCCGTACCATCAAAGAGAAATTTTGAAGCATATAATAAATATAATGAAATGGTGTTCTAAGTCATATTTTCTGGTTCAGTTTGGACTCTTCGAAATACCATGCAGTGTACAATGAAGAAAAAAATGGCGATTCTGCATAACTACAATATTTGTTATTTATTTTAATGAATCTAATAGGTTGAGAACTGAATCCTAGACTTATCGAAATAATTGATTCAAAAAATAGTCCTAATTTTCAAAGGTACAGATTGGTCTGACTCATGAACCTTGAAAATTCATAATGACAGATACCTTGTTGTCCAATGAGGCTATTTCTTGCTGACTCTGTGTTGACAGTAAAAATGAATTCATCTGTTGTTTTAGGGTATCATCCTGAAAAAAACGTAGATTTCAAGGGATGCAGTCATCTGTAAACATAACAAACATGAAGCTCAAATGAAAAATATATTCTTGGAAATACTGCCAAGTAAAATAATTCTATCAAAATAAAGGACTTATATTTAGTTTGTATTTTGACAGTTGAAATCATATTTCTTTATTTAGTTTCAAGAACATATTTAGTTCATATTTTACAAGTTATTGTCAAGGACATATTATTTAGTTCATATTTTACAAGTTATTGTCAAGAACATATTATTTAGTTCATATTTTACAAGTTATTTTCAAGAACTTATTATTTAGTTCATATTTTACAAGTTATTTTCAAGAACATATTTAGTTCATATTTTACAAGTTATTGTCAAGATCATATTATTTAGTTCATATTTTACAAGTTATTGTCAAGAACATATTATTTAGTTCATATTTTACAAGTTATTGTCAAGGACATATTATTTAGTTCATATTTTACAAGTTATTGTCAAGGACATATTATTTAGTTCATATTTTACAAGTTATTTTCAAGAACATATTATTTAGTTCATATTTTACAATTTTTGTCAAGGACATATTATTTAGTTCATATTTTACAAGTTATTGTCAAGGACATATTATTTAGTTCATATTTTACAAGTTATTGTCAAGGACATATTATTTAGTTCATATTTTACAAGTTATTTTCAAGAACATATTATTTAGTTCATATTTTACAAGTTATTGTCAAGGACATATTATTTAGTTCATATTTGACAAGTTATTGTCAAGGACATATTATTTAGTTCATATTTTACAAGTTATTGTCAAAGACATATTATTTAGTTCATATTTTACAAGTTATTGTCAAAGACATATTATTTAGTTCATATTTGACAAGTTATTGTCAAGAACATATTATTTAGTTCATATTTTACAAGTTATTGTCAAGGACATATTATTTAGTTCATATTTGACAAGTTATTGTCAAGGACATATTATTTAGTTCATATTTTACAAGTTATTGTCAAGGACATATTATTTAGTTCATATTTTACAAGTTATTGTCAAAGACATATTATTTAGTTCATATTTTACAAGTTATTGTCAAGGACATATTATTTAGTTCATATTTGACAAGTTATTGTCAAGGACATATTATTTAGTTCATATTTTACAAGTTATTGTCAAGGACATATTATTTAGTTCATATTTTACAAGTTATTGTCAAAGACATATTATTTAGTTCATATTTTACAAGTTATTGTCAAGGACATATTATTTAGTTCATATTTGACAAGTTATTGTCAAGGACATATTATTTAGTTCATATTTTACAAGTTATTTTCAAGAACATATTATTTAGTTCATATTTTACAAGTTATTGTCAAGGACATATTATTTAGTTCATATTTTACAAGTTTTTGTAAAGGACATATTATTTAGTTCATATTTGACAAGTTATTGTCAAGGACATATTATTTAGTTCATATTTTACAAGTTATTGTCAAGGACATATTATTTAGTTCATATTTTACAAGTTATTGTCAAGGACATATTATTTAGTTCATATTTTACAAGTTATTGTCAAGGACATATTATTTAGTTCATATTTTACAAGTTATTGTCAAGGACATATTTTGCAAGTTATTTTTTATTTTGTATTTACTTTATATTTTGCAATAAAAATCTGTACAAGCAAGACATCAGGTGTAAATGTTATATTAGTAGTTATTTTCAAGGAAATAAATAGTTCATATTTTGCAAGTAATTTTCAAGAACCTATGTAATTGAATCATCTTATGGAAGTAAAAATTGGAAAACATCTTACCACTTCAACATCAATATCATAGCAGGCAGTTTTCTTAGCGTCAGGACCCTCTACACTGTAAATAAAATATCATAGTCAAATTGACTGGAATGAAAACCTAAAATTTTTCTGTTGCTATGGTTACATATGTCAACATAATGTGTGCAAAAATTATTAAGTTGGATAAGATTTTAGAAAGTGTTCTATGTGTGTGTGCAGACAGATTTCAAGATAGCTTGCCAGGCAAGGTAATATATGCCCACTGGCAGCTTTGATTTTGAATAAAAATATTGAGCAGTACAGTAACAATCACCAGTATGAAATATTCAACCTTCAGTCATATACTTCTTTTGAACTCTTTAGGGCGATACTGAATAATATTGAGTATGAGTTGTTGCCCTTGTTCTTGAAAACGTGTTCAATCTTTAGCTCGTGAAAACTTTAGAAGGCAAATATTCAATCTTCAGCACAGGACCGAATAATTAAACCGAGTTTTGTCAAAATCCAGCAAGAACCATGCCTTTTAGTGTTTAAGATCTTCATAATGACATTGACACAAAAAATCAATAGAATCTGTAAAGAATTGTAGCCTGTAGAGTGAGCACGAGTTGCACAATATAGCTAATAAAGAAAAACGTCAAGTCACACACGATATTTCGGGGAAAATTATCCAATCATCACGAAAATCAATAGGGATCATCTTCATAATGACATTGAAAACACAAAATCAAAATCTAAACAATCTGTACAGAATTGTAGTCTGTAGAGTGAGCAAGAGCCAAATGTGAACGGACGGACGGACGGACCGACAGGGTGATTACAATATACGCCCATCTTATGTGCGGGCGTATAAAAATGGTAGAGAAAGGAATAGAATTAACATTTTGAATGTGATATAATCTGGTTCTATACTGTTTGATTGAGGCTAGAATTGAATCATAAGGAATCTGTTCAGAATATGAAAATAAAGCACCTAAGATTGTTAAGAGGTTTTTCTAAATTTTTTATGTGTATCAAGGACACTGATAGCTTCAATTTGCACCATTTCAATTTTCAATACGGCATTTGCGGTTTGGCATGATGTAAATTGATGCTATCAGTTTGTACAATACATATAAAAAGTTGAGAAAACCCTCTGTACAATCCCTTTAACTACAAGCTATTATGTGTTAACTTGCAATTTACATTTGCACTCATAGAAAAAAGGTTAGTTCCCCCAATTGTACCCCCACTTCATTTCAAACAAATTCTCCATGGGGGCCTGGAAATATGGTGCTTTCACAGAGTCACACCATTTTGAATTTCTACTGTCGGTTATTCCCCCATTATGTCAGTCTTACCCCCTTACCTGCACCTCAAATTTCTGGAAACTTTAAGGTACAAAACTTACGTAATGAGATGATTTATAACTATTGGATCAGGGGGCATCATTAAGGGATGTAATTTAGATGGAATCTCAGCAAACTTCATCTTCTTACATTCAAATATCTATAAATAACCAATTAAAACTGTGTAATTAAAAGCTGTAAATATAGCTAAATTTACCTCATAGAATGAACTTAAAATCATCCCATTGTAACCAACTTTGAACTTGACCGAGATCTCATCAATATAAACATGCATACTAAGTTTCATCAAGATCAGATAAAAACTGTAGCCTCTATCATGTCTACAAGCCAAATTTGTTACCAATTTTGAACTTGACTGAGATCTTATTATACCAAGTTTTATCAAGAAACAAATAAAAACTGTAGTCTCTATTGTGCTTAAAAGATGGACGGACAGACGGACATACCAAGTCAACGGCAATATATGTCCACATTTCCATGTGGGCGTATTAAAAGTAACGAACCTGTTCTAAATATTTATCTGTATTGATATATTCCCGTTCATTCGGGTCCTGTAGTTTATGAGTTTTGATATATTGCCATAGCGCATTAATAATGACTGGTCGCGTCTGTGTATGAATTCCTAACAATCTAGCTAGTCTTGGGTCCAATTTAAACTGCATTGGCTGAAAATAAAACAAAAAAAAAACATGGGCAATTACTTAATTGTGTAAAAAATCAGTTTAATGTCCTTCTTTTGTGAACTTTATAAGATTAAATATGTTTGCCAATTTATAGGCAATTGGATGGGCAATAACTCAAGGAGTGAACATCAGTTTCAGGTCCTACTTTTTCTGCACATAATTTGGCTAAATACCAACCAAAACTAGATATAAATTTAGTTTTCTTGTTATTATTATGGTTACTGACTAAAATCAATTTTACATCAATTTTGTATCAACCAATTCCAATCTATTGGAAAATTTGATTCTGGATATGTTCTGAAAATTTGAGCTTCTTAGCTTCCTAGTTTGCATGCTTCGCTGTTTTTTCAATTGTGTCTAAATTTGCCTAGGTACCCAAGGAACAAGATTCTTGAAAGGAAATAGAGTGTTAACATATAAATGAAAAAAAAATCAAAGACAACAACTCCTACCTGATAATCTAACATCAGCAATACAGTACATTTAACATTATTATCCCCTGGTCGTTTGACCTGAAATCCGTCAGTTTCTTGTGTGTTGGGGATACGATGCCACTATAAACAGACAAAACATATCCCAATCAAATTCCTATCAAATACAATCAATGCCTACACTAACAGGCTCTTTTTTTTTAAAGTATTTTGAACTAATTTCTATTATAATAAATTTCAATTCGACTAATAGAATGCAAGTAATATGGGAAAGTTTGCCATTTGAATTCCTAATATTGTTGGTCATAGAAATAGTATTCGCTTAGTCAGCAGCCATTTAGATTTTGTGTGCTAATGTGCGACTAGGTGACAATGTAAAATCTAAAAACAACAATAATCTTTTCACATGAAAAGTTGATTTGTTTGCTGCTAGGAAGAAACAACAGGGAACTAGCAGTATTTAACAAGTTAAACCACCGTCTGCTAGGAAAGTAGATACAGAAGAAAAAGGTAGTGAAATATCTACCAGACATCCATTTGTGAAATTGCACCTCATTTTTGTTTCTGTACTAACCTCAACTAAATGATTGTCAGGACCATACAGGTCTTTATCTAACTCAATAACAAGGGACTTAAAGAATGATGAGAACTTGCGTTTCACATTGTTAGCATTGCTCAATTTAGCTGTAGCAGCCTGAAAATAGACAAGACATAAAAAGTTTTAAAATTCTTGAGGCCGAGCTGTAGCACAATTAGCTGGAACATCAAAAATTGACAATCGTTTGCTTGTATATGTTGATCAAATGGCAGTCAAGGGTTGTAATTTCAGCCAGTGTCTGAAAGTCTAATGACCTTGAATAAGTCATCTTTCTTCATTATTCCACTTTACTTTTATGATGGGTATGAATAATCCACAAGGTTTGGCCAAGGACCAGCTGGTAGACAGAATCATCATGAAGTTAAGTTTTAACTTACATCTTCCAATAGACGACCTTCAACTCTCAACTCCCACGATGGAATCGATTCTTCTCCATCCTGTAAATAAAAATATAACAATTTAACATTATTTCTATAAATTCAATAATTTTGAATTGCTACCATAGAAGTTAGTGAGCTTTTAATATGAGGAAGAATATCAATCATAAGTGAGTAAGTCTTTAATATGCGATCATTTGTTCCAGCTATTAAAGGTTATTTTTTTGCGGTACTATAAAAGCTGAGACAGCAGGCCCATCAACCTATATAAGCATAACAAATGTCCAAATACAATTGTTGCTTTTTACTGCTATTTTTGTTTTGGTTTGCTCACACCTTCCAGCAGGTATTTGATTGGCTGATATGGTAAGTCTTTATTTCAACCAATCAGAAAACCAAATTTTGCAACTGACCTCTCCTTCTGGTTTTGGTGGATAGAAAGTATTGGAAATGAAAATCCTCAGCTTTCTCTTCTGTTTCATTGGTCGTTTTAAGGCTTCTTGAATATCCAGTCGTTTTCTCATAATAGTTGCATCCAGTTTACGTTCGAACGCCAGTAAATCCATGTAGGCCTGTGATTCTGGAACTAGATCTCGAACCTGAAACATAAAAGAATTAAAAGGTCTTAGAATTTTAGATTTTCAAATGGATATGATAGCTTGCAAGCATTGTAAATTATAATCTACTACAGGCAATTAGGGATTACAATGAAATGAAAACATCTAGTTTTTTGAACGAGGATATGAGGAAAGGCAATGCCATTCAGTGCGCAATGAGTGCAAATTTGAGTTGGGCTATTAGGATTGTCTACAAACTACGAGTCTGAGATTCAATCTGAAAAGCAATAGATGTAGATTTATCTTAAATTGATCGACTGATTCAAAATTCATACCCTTTGTGGTAAAATCTTGTCAGCTATCTTTTTTTTCTTCTTCCTTAAATACAAAAATAACTCATTAGCTAAGAGAATTCGGTATTGGATCATAGATCTTCAAAACTTTCAGATATATGTTAATGGACATATTTCTCTAGATTTTGCAGTGTAGTTTTCATAAATTTGAGCAAAAATAATGTTCAACCTTCAAAAACATATTTCACTTTAATTTTCAAATGATTTTTTTAATGCTTTATATCTCCAGATATTAACAGAATAACAGAACTAGTTATCTCATATTAAAAGGCTTAATGTATATTTCCTTGCACGAAATGATAACTTGATGCATTCTGATCATCTTAGATGTATCTCTAGAACCCTCATTCCCATCCTTTTAAACTCTAAAGCAAGACGCAGACGATAGATTTTTGATCGTTGAAAAAAAAAACATCGTTGATGTGCTCAAGTTATCTTTAGCCACATGCAATTTTTTATTTCACTAGATGAGATATTATCTGTTAATATATACTTACGCCTTCATGTGCTGTTGAGCTCTGGGATCAGGTCCTCTTTTTCTATCCATTGGTGTACCCATACCTGGAGGGGGTGGGGGCATTCCTGGTGACATTCCTGGTCTGGCCATACCTGCAAAATTAATCAAAACCAAAAATTAAAGAAAATGTTTTATCTTATCTCTGGAAGTCTGTAAAGAAATACGACATTTAAAATTTGGTGGAAGAAAAATCAAGAAAAGTCATTTTTGACCAGCACATACAAGTTGAAGAAAAGAAAAGCTAAAATTGAGAAAGATTTTTACAGATCAAATAAATATGGAAAAGAAAAAAAGCTTGTAAGGTGCCTGATTGAAACCATCAAAGAAGAGCCTTTTACCACTTTCCTAGATATATAATGTATATTTATAACTATATTAATAATGTATTTGGGAAATATGACAATGAAATTGAGTTTTAATCTGGTCTTGATAAGGCCAATAAAACAGTTAGAACCCAAAACCTATAGCCCAATAAGCCATAATTTTCAACTTTTTCATCAATTTTCTAATTTTTTGTCATTTTATCCCTTTCAACAAAAATGGCCACTTTATTAACCACATTATTGCAGTTATCACAATTCCAGAGCAGCCAGTGAAGCAGCCATTTCCAAGTAACATCACAAATTATTAAGGCAAACCAATTCTAAAGGGACAGGTTCACCATTTTAGAAATGTATAAAAATCACATAGCTTCTTCAAAAATACCTCAAACTAGGAATAACTTTCTATTTATGTCTATATATGGCAGAATCTCAAGAAAAGGCAAATCGTCATTACAATCAAATCGCATAATTCTGGACACACAAGGATTTGAAATCTCAAATTTCGATGGTGAGCTGTGAACACTATTACTGAGTTTAGCTAAAAAAAATTGAGGCAAAGGTACGATTGGTCAAACGGTTGATAAATCTGTCCCCATAAGTCATTGGAGTTCAGGGTATATGACGTAAAATTTTAAAAATACTCAATCTTCAAAACATTAAGAGTTTTGACTTTCATATTGATAAAATCTTATAACATCTTGAATTTCTGGATATATAAGAACAGTTTCAATAAATAAACTACTAAAGCACAAGCCAAGGCAGACAATCAGCTCAACAAACAAAGCTCTATTTGACAGTCAACAATACCAAAATACAACTAGAAAATATTTTAGTCACAGTATTACAGGCACACAGTATTTTGGTCACAGTAATACAGGCACAAGGTATTATGGTCACAGTAATACGGACACACAGTATTCTGGTCACAGTAATACAGGCACAAGGTATTTTGGTCACAGTAATACAGGCACACAGTATTCAGGTCACAGTAATACAGGCACAAGGTATTTTGGTCACAGTAATACAGGCACACAGAATTTGGCCACAATAATTCAGGCACATTGTAATTACTGTGACCATATTTCCAGAGACCAAATTTACTGTGACCAATTTACCTACATCCGAAATATATCAGCCTGCTGGATGAAGACTGCTTTAACACCCTTGATGTGGTTTATTCAATTCATTTTCTAGTCATATCAATATCTAGACAGCCTTGAAGCAGTATCATGCAATGCTTAAATAGCACATTTACTAACTAGCAAACTTTGAAATTCCTTATTTTATTTTTACTAATAATAGCACATTAAACAAATTAATGTCCCTCCTCTAAAGCTAAAGATTTTCTATTTTTGTACCATCTTAACAGCTGTTTTAATTTGTTGTTTCAGATAAAGAGTCTCTAAACTTTCACACGAATTATCATGCTACACCCAAAGCAACACAAATGTCTGTTGTTATTTCATGCAAGACTTACTGGAACTATCCTTGCTCTTGGAGCTACCTGAAAATTGGCAAAATATTCTGTAAACATGTAGATTGATCAATTTCAAAATATTGAATTTTAAGTGTAAGCTTAGTTTGAAGAAATAAAATGATAATGTCATCATATGAACACACTTAAATAAAAGAATAAATTCAGATCTACAAAGGAGTGTGGTATTAAAACAACTGAAATACTAGAAGATGTATTTATATACTAACAAGTATGTAAACAATTAACAATTATTAAATGATTAAAGAGTTAAAGTTGTCTGCATATTAGCTTCAGCAATCCTTAATTACAGCTCCTCTAATCACTTTTCTGATCAAAATTTCGGGCATCCCGTCCGATCGTCCTATTACTCGTTTCCCTGGGTTCATTCGCTTGGTTCCATTCACTCCTTGGTCAGGGGCCGTTCCATTTCATGAGGGCAGAATATCCTTATAATCACACATAATAACCAAAGGACCGAAGACATTATAAAACCATGTTTTATGCAACAAGTACTGGAAACTTTGAACCATTCAAACTCAAGTTGGGTAACCATTAAGCTAGATTTGTGAATATATGTTCAGAACTAATTTCACCAGTACTAATTATCATGGTGGCAATCAAGCATATTTGTTTTGGACAATTTTTCATGGCAATTGGAAAGGGTTGGAATGAACGACTAAGTTCAACAAGTTCAATTAAATACATATCCAAACCTTTTGTTGAGGCATTGTGTCAAAAAATATTTTACCGCAAACAGACCCAGTGCGAGTCAAACGGATTTGAAATTTTGACATTTGGTTTTTTTATAATCAAAAACGAAAAATTACAAAAGTGACAACAGTTTAAGTTTTGAGGCTACTATTTAAGAGTAACGGTACTCTTTATCTAAATAATAAACACCTCCAATTTTTATTGTTGGCATTTCCTATATTTTCTTTTTTGTAGACGAACCAGATGTCATATTACACACTGAAAAGTAACACAGCTGACTCCAATTGAGCTCTATAAGCCAGTAAAGCAAATATTTAGTTTTTTTTATTCCTTTGTAAACTGTTTTATAAGAAACTAACCAATAAACAATATCTTTCAAAAATTTTATGAAAAGTTTTTTTAAGTTGAAAATCAAAAATGGAGAATATCAAAAGCAATGAACATGGAAAACCAATATTAATGGTAAATCTACAGATGTATCTAGCAAATGATTGAAATGGTACCACAATAAGTATGAGCATGCTTGATTCAGCATACTTACTCTGGCTATCCTTGCTTTTAGAACTACCTGGAAAAAACAGCAACTTCATTATTCAAGTTCAATAGTAATTTTAACAAGCATTTGGGTGAAATAAAGAATCATACACAAGTTGCTAACAATATCAGTGGTTATTAAATGAATACAGATAAAGTCTTAATCAAAACAAAGCAATCAAGGGTTTTCTTCATTAAGAGGGTCAAAAGTATTATAAATCAAGCACTTGGGTGAGACAATGAATCTAATATTATTTTGTCTTTAAAGTCTTAAAGCAATATAGACACTACTATTGAATAAAAGTTTGTATTAAGCGAATTTAACTATATTGTTTAACAAACATTTAGGCAAGATCAGACAAATAGATGCTTTAGTCTTGTATCCATATTACTTATCAAGCGCCAGATAAAAGATTTGTCAGTTATAGCTATCATAAGAATATTTTTCAAAAATGATATTTCAAAGTATTTATGCAAGATAATATACAATCTACCACTTTTTATCTTGTTAAAAAAAACCACTAGGCCACCGAGACCTTTAAATAGCAGTATTTACCAAACAAAACCAAAATCATTTACTAAGCATTTAAAGGTAAACTCTTCAAGAATATTTTAGACTTCACCTTCAGGAATTCTTCTTTCCCACAGAAAATACGCAAGGCAATATATGTCCCATTGGCAGCTTTGATTTTGAATAAGAATATTTAGCAGTACAGTAACAATCACCAGTATGAAATATTCAACCTTCAGACATACACTTCTTTTGAACTTTTTAGGGCGATACTGTATTATATTACCAAGTTTTGGCAAAATCTGGCAAGAATCGTGTCTTTTTTGTTTACAAGCTTAAAATTAAATGCAAGAACAAGGGCAATAACTCATACTAAATATTTTTCTGATTTTCAATAGGGATCATCCTTCAATTGGGTGATAACATTCAAATCGAGTTTCCTCAAGAATTGTGCCTTCTAGAGTGTTCAGGTGCTCAAAATTAAACATGTTTCAAGAACAAGGGCAATAACTCATACTAATTATCTTTAGATACTGATTTTCAATAGGGTTCATCCATGGGTAATTACAACACCCATACCAAGTTTCGCCAAAATCAGTTAAGAATTGTGTTAGTGTTTAAGAACAATCGTGGACAGTTGGAGGTACGTACGTATCAAAACAAACAACCATCAAGCAACTACTAGTTGTCTAAAAGCTATGCATGCAAAAAACAGATTTTCAAGCTCTTTTATGTGTTTCAGGTCAAACTACCACTTCTATTTGTATCACTCTAATTTCCAGTTAGATGTCTGTGGTTTGTGTAATTATAGAAATGCTTAACCTTATGTAACTTCATAAAAAGCCTAATTTAAATGTTATTGCAAGATCAACTGATATCTTAACACCTGTCTTTCAAATAGCAAATTGATATTAATAATTGATAAATGATCATATTGAGAAACTGTAGATACAAAATATAAAACATGCCAAAATTCTTTATTTCATGGGTAATTCTTGTGTC